TCTGACACGAAACTGTACTAAACTAATGTTGAAAAGAATTTGTCTACATATTTTTGTCCCTCATAAAAAACTGCTTATATTCAGACTTGTATTGCAGATAATGTATTAACAAGGATTTTAGTTTTTCTACTAATAACGCATTTGTTTATGGATCAATGAAGTATCAATTCGTTTTCTAAAGATATTTAGGTAAATATTCATATTTGTCTATATACTTTTGTCCATTACTGTATGTATAGATTTCTATTTATTGTACGACGTTTCGACCACGATTATGCACTTTTTCAAGTATATCAATAATTGACAATGATTCTACTTGAAAAAGGCTTAGCGTCATTTTTTTCATGATCATATACGAAGTGACATATAAATCCGAACACCCAGTTTAAATGGTTTTATTTTAATAAAAGTTGGTGAATGTATTTATCTTACTGTAAATAACAAGTGAAAAAATTTTCAGCCTTATCAGTTGGACATTCCGGTTTTTATACTGCTTTTTTTTAATTCACTAACGCTCTAAAAATGAATATTTCAGCCGCAGTAAAGAATCGACGTTGGCGGATTTTAGTTCTTGACATGCTTTACGATCGGTTACGATGCCTAGAGTACGGAGACCCGTACGATTTCGTCAACTTAGTGAGTTTGATAGGGGCCGTATAGTGGGACTTCGAGAAGCTGGACTTTCTTTTCGGGCAATTGCAGTTAGAGTGCAAAGAAGTGTAGACACTGTGGTTAGCTGTTGTCAGGGATGGCTTCGAGAAGGCCGTACGCAAAGAGCAAGGGGCACTGGACGCCGCCGTAGAACAACAGACCGTGAAGATCGCCGCCTAAGATTATTGGCCTTAAGGGACCGTTTCTCCACTACCAGGTCCATTGCAAATGAATGGTTTGCAGAACACGGAAGACCTATTGGCATGCGAAGTGTTTACCGACGAATGAGAAGTTTTGGCTTGTTTTCATACCGGCCACACTGGGTCCTTCCTTTAACTCGAGAACACCGACGTAATCGCCTTGAGAGGTGCAGACAACGGTCACTCTGGGATCAGGAATGGAACAGTATTGTCTTTAGTGACGAGTCTCGATTTTGTTTAGGCATGCACGATGGTCGTGCCAGGGTTAGAAGGCGACGTGGTGAAAGGAGAAATCCACAGTTTTTTGTTGAAAGACATGTTCATCACACTGTTGGAGTTATAGTTTGGGGTGCTATAGCTTATGGTTCCAGGTCACCTTTAATCTGCATCAGAGCTAACATGAACGCGCAGCGTTATATCCACGAAGTTCTAGAACCCCATCTTTCACCCTATCTTGACACCCTGGCAGATCCAACTTTCCAACAAGATAATGCCCGACCACATAATGATGTCACATCGTTTCCATGGCCACCAAGATCTCCCGACTTATCCCCAATTGAGCACGTGTGGGATATGATGGGTAGGAGATTGCTCAATTTGCAACGTCCCCCTCAGACTCTAGAAGCACTTCGAGAGGAGTTGGTGATTGCCTGGAATGAGATACCACAGGAGGACATTGACCACCTGATCAGAAGCATGCCTAGGCACGTTGGAGAATGCGTAGCACATCAGGGTGCAACCACACATTATTAAAGGGCAAAGGGCTTTAAAGCAGTGCAATCATTTTGAAATTTTTATCATTTACTTATTATGCTTCATTAAGTGTTTATACAAAATTTTATTAAAATAAAACCATTTAAACTGGGTGTTCGGATTTATATGTCACTTAGTATATTTCCCTTTTAACTTGTTTTATTAATACACCAACCTGTATACATAACTCGGTATAGCATAATACTCACTTAAACATAAATAAATTCTTTTGACTCCCTTCAATAAAAAATTAATTGAAAAAAATTGGAACTATGAAGGACAAAAATATATAGACAAAGCAAAACAATTATAGAAAAAAGAAGCAAAGTTCATTGGATTATAGAAAACCAACCATATTTGTGTTAATATTTTGTAGCATAACCATTATTATCAATCACCGCCTGGCATCGTCTCGGCATAGATTGTAGAAGTTTCTTGATATAAGATTCATCAATCTGTCTCCACTTTTGCTCTAAAGCGGCAAAAAGTTCATCCTTGTTTGAATAATTTTTATCTCGTATTTGCATCGGGAGACTGTGTAGGCCATTTGAGAACTGGTATTTTTTAATCCAGAGAGAATTTCTTTGCGAGATTTGAAGTGTGCTTCGGGTCATTATCTTGCTGGAAGATTGATCTTAAGGGCATATTGTCTTCCATATAGGGTAACATGACATGCTTTGGTATGTCTGTGTATACAAACTTATCCATAATTCCATCTATTCTATGTAAAGGTCGCATCCCAAACCCCGAAAAGCACCCCCAAACCATAACAGACCCGCCTTCATGTTTGACTGTGAGCAAAGTGTACTTGGGGTTCAATCTTTGTCCACCAGGACGTCTAAAGTAATGAACACCATCTGATCCAAACATATTGAACTTGGATTCGTCACTGAAACATACCCTATTCCAGTCACAGATACTCCAATCAAGATGCAACCGTGCAAATTGTAATCGGTCCTTACGGTTTTTCCTCGAGATTAGGGGCTTCTTACTCGGGCGACGTGCAAATAACTTCAAATCATTTAAACTTCTACTTATAGTTTTCGTAGAAACACTGACAATTCATTTTGTCTCGACTTCGGCTTTTATTTGTCTTGGGGTTTTAAATGAATCTTTGAACGAAATTACGTTTATTAATCTAACTGATCTAGCATTTAGTTTTGTAGGCCGACCACTTCTCTTAGAGGCTTCCAAAATACCTTTTTGTTTATATTTGTTCAATATTGCCCGAACTGCTTTACGTTTCAGCTTCAAATTTTTGGAAATGTCGACATGACGTTCACCATCTTTGTATAACTCAATGATCTTAGTTTTCTCATCGAAAGAAATTTCTAGACCACGTGGCATGATCTTAAAATCACTCAACTTATTCCACAATACTTGATGAACACAAACTAATCCTCTTCTGACACGAAACTGTACTAAACTAATGTTGAAAAGAATTTGTCTACATATTTTTGTCCCTCATAAAAAACTGCTTATATTCAGACTTGTATTGCAGATAATGTAACAACAAGGATTTTAGTTTTTCTACTAATAACGCATTTGTTTATGGATCAATGAAGTATCAATTCGTTTTCTAAAGTTATTTAGGTAAATATTCATATTTGTCTATATACTTTTGTCCTAATGGACAAGTACAGTAATCTGTATGTATAGATTTCTATTTATTGTACGACGTTTCGACCACCATTATGCACTTTTTCAAGTATATCAATAATTGACAATGATTCTACTTGAAAAAGGCTTAGCGTCATTTTTTTCATGATCATATACGAAGTGACATATAAATCCGAACACCCAGTTTAAATGGTTTTATTTTAATAAAAGTTGGTGAATGTATTTATCCTACTGTAAATAACAAGTGAAAATATTTTCAGCCTTATCAGTTGGACATTCCGGTTTTTATACTGCTTTTTTTAATTCACTAACGCTCTAAAAATGAATATTTCAGCCGCAGTAAAGAATCAACGTTGGTGGATTTTGTTTCTTGACATCCTTTACGATCGGTTACTATGCCTAGAGTACGGAGACCTGTACGATTTCGTCAACTTAGTGAGTTTGATAGGGGCCGTATAGTGGGACTTCGGGAACCTGGACTTTCTTTTCGGGCAATTGCAGTTAGAGTGCAAAGAAGTGTAGACACTGTGGTTAGGTGTTGTCAGGCATGGCTTCGAGAACGCCGTACGCAAAGAGCAAGGGGCACTGGACGCCGCCGTAGAACAACAGACCGTGAAGATCGCCGCCTAAGATTATTTGCCTTAGGGGACAGTTTCTCCACTACCAGGTCCATTGAAAATGAATGGTTTGCAGAACACGGAAGACCTATTGGCATGCGAAGTGTTTACCGACGAATGAGAAGTTTTGGCTTGTTTTCATACCGGCCACACTGGGTCCTCCCTTTAACTCGAGAACACTGACGTAATCGCCTTGAGTGGTGCAGACAACGGTCACTCTGGGATCAGGAATGGAACACTATTGTCTTTAGTGATGAGTCTCGATTTTGTTTAGGCATGCACGATGGTCGTGCCAGGGTTAGAAGGCGACGTGGTGAAAGGAGGAATCCACAGTTTTTTGTTGAAAGACATGTTCATCACACTGTTGGAGTTATGGTTTGGGGTGCTATAGCTTATGGTTCCAGGTCACCTTTAATCTTCATCAGAGGTAACATGAACGCGCAGCGTTATATCCACGAAGTTCTTTTACCCTATCTTGACACCCTGGCAGATCCAACTTTCCAACAAGATAATGCCCGACCACATGTTGCAAGAGTCACAATAGACTGCTTTCAACATAATAATGTCACATTGTAACCATGGCCACCAAGATCTCCCGACTTATCCCCAATTGAGCACGTGTGGGATATGATGGGTAGGAGATTGCTCAATTTGCAACGTCCTCCTCAGACTCTAGAAGCACTTCGAGAGGAGTTGGTGGTTGCCTGGAATGAGATACCACAGGAGGACATTGACCACCTGATCAGAAGCATGCCTAGGCGCGTTGGAGAATGCGTAGCACATCAGGGTGCATCCACACATTATTAAAGGTCAAAGGGCTTTAAAGCAGTGCAATCATTTTGAAATTTTTATCATTTACTTATTATGCTTCATTAAGTACTTATACAAAATTTTATTAAAATAAAACGATTTAAACTGGGTGTTCGGATTTATATGTCACTTAGTATATTCGAAATCAGTGTCCCAAATTACCCAAGTTCATCAAGTTTTGTCCATTTGTAGCAAGTGAGGACAAAACTGGTTATTATGCACTGTAAAACTTTAAAGTCTTGACGAACGTTTTATTAAAAAAGTCAAATATAGTAATGCATAAATGCCCCACAAAATAAGGATAGACCCTGGGGAGTAGATAGACTCTTGATTAATTTTTTCTTGACAGGATCGGCCACACTGCCACAGTCAGTTCCACCATACTGATTTCTGCAAGATATGGACGTATCTACAACAGATGCTACATACAACGAAGTCAACATAGATGAAGCTATAGAAGATTACAGTAAAGGCATATCTAGGGCAGCTTATATAAAACTACACCGTAGCCATAGCAACAAACTTACGAAAAACCTTAAGGAAAAATACGAACGACAAACATCTGATGAAAAGAAACAGGTTTGAGTCGATTTTGAGTTAGAAAAAGTTATTAGATGTATATGTATACAGGGTGTCCCAGAAGTCGACGTCAAGCCAAAACCGGGTGATAGGCAAAGTCATAACAGCTATCAGAAAAATATTTAAAAAAATTTTATGTATGTGTTTTGAAAATTATAGGTCTTTGAAAAAGATATAGAAATTTCACACCCTACGGCAGTCTGTCAACTCCTGTTACTACAAATATTAACTTTTTTTGGATTTCATTTTTACAATGTAATGATGAATAATGCATCTTCAAACTGGTGTCTCAACCTCACTGCCAACTTTTCTCGTTCAGGAAAAATTGCCACTTATTTCCCAACCAAGTATTCCAAAGTAAAACTTTGCTCAACTTTAACTGGCTGTACTGGAAAAAAATTTACTACGAGAGTTTGGCAAGTAACCCTAAAAGTTGGCGCATTTAATAACGATTCCAAAATGGTATAACACGTGGAAGATTACTCGTTAACTTATGCACAATTTTTATTTGAAGAAAAACTGATGAAAATTTTTCAAAATTTCCTAATTAAACAGCGATTATGAAAACGCACAAGGACCCTTAAGGATAACTGTTTGCACAACAGTGGGCGTCAAAAGGCTGCTGATGATGATTTACCTTTACAGCAAATGCTCAAACTGTTTTCCTTCTGCCGCAATACACGCTCGCCATCTCAAAAAAGATCGGGTTATTAAACGAGCGAATCCACGGTTATTAACAAACTCAGCTGCTTCCAATAGTCTTTGCCGTAGCTCAGCTACATTTTGAATCGGCTTGAAATACACTTTTGCTTTTACAGTTCCCCTGTAAAAAAAATCTAACGGATTCAAATCTGGTGACCGAGCTGGCCACGGTATTATACCAGACCGCCCTATCCATCTGCCTGGAAAGTTTTGATCGAGATACTCACTCACTGAGAGTGCATAGTGCGCTGGGCAGCCATCATGCGGAAACCACATGTACCTGTAAATATTCAGTGGCACGTCCACCAATAAATTTTGTACATGATTTTTCAAAAAATCCAAATAAACTTCAGCAGTCAAAGTCTCTGGGAACTCAAACGGTCCGATTATTTTACCATTTAAAATTCCCGTCCAATGGTTTATCTTGAAGCGATATTGAGATTTATCTTCTCTCATCAAATGTGGGTTTGCTACGTGCCACTCGTGTAAGTTATGCAGGTTAATGTACCCATCTTTCTTAAATGTGGTCTCATCCGACCATAACATTTTTTCAAAGAACTGTGGATCTTTCCTGTGTCTTTCTAACATTGTGCGACAAAATGCAACTCGGGGCTCATAATCCCGGGCCAGGAGAGGTTGAACACGCTGTATGTGGTATGGATGAAGCACATCACTTACTTGCTATTGCACACTTTGATACCGATCAGTACTCCTTCGTTTACTGCGCATCTTTACGTGCTTGTTGATTTCGTACTGTTACTAATTTTGGATTCGTGAACTGGACTGTTGATCGCTTGTGATTTGGATTTGGACTGTTTAATTGCTCTTCAAAACAACATTTGCTTTCCTTAGACTATCTTTGATAGTGTGATTGTGCAGTGCCGCTATGTCCGTGTACACCGTACAAGAATATGCTAACATGCACCTCATTTATGGGGAATGCAGATGCAACGCTAGTGCTGCAGCGAGACTTTACTGTGAGAGGTACCCGAATGCAGCTCGTCATCCAGATCATCGAGTGTTCACAAATGTGCACCGCTTACTGTTCGCAGAGGGCCAACTACTAAACCAATCACACGGTGAGGAAAGATCTTTCCTCCCTTACGAAGACGTGGTGCTAGGAGCTGTCGAAGAAGACCCGAGTACTTCAGTGCGTGCAATAGAACTAAAAACAGGTGTGCCCAAAAGTACAGCCCATAGACTCTTGCAAAAAAACGTGCTCCATCCATACCACGTACAGCGTGTTCAAGCTCTTCTGCCCCGGGATTATGAGCCCTGAGTTGCTTTTTGTCGCACAATGTTAGAAAGACACAGGGAAGATCCACGGTTCTTTGAAAAAATTTTATGGTCAGATGAGACCACATTTAAGAAAGATGGGTACATTAACCTGCATAACTTACACGAGTGGCACGTAGCAAACCCACATTTGATGAGAGAAGATAAATCTCAATATCGCTTCAAGATAAACCATTGGACAGGAATTTTAAATGGTAAAATAATCGGTCCGTTTTAGTTCCCAGAGACTTTGACTGCTGAGGTTTATTAAGGTTTTTTGCAAAATCATTTAGAAAATTTATTGGAGGACGTGCCACTGAGTATTTACAGGGACATGTGGTTTCAGCATGATGGCTGCCCAGCGCACTATGCACTCTCAGTGAGAGAGTATCTCGATCAAAGCTTTCCAGGCAGATGGATAGGGCGGTCTGGTACAATACCGTGGCCAGCCCGGTCACCAGATTTGAATCCGTTAGATTTTTTTTACTGGGGAACTGTAAAAGAAAAAGTGTATTTCAAGCCGATTCAAAATGTAGCTGAGCTACGACAAAGACTATTGGAAGCAGCTGAGTTTGTTAATAACAGTGGATTCGCTCGTTTAATAACCCGATCTTTTTTAAGATGTCGAGCGTGTATTGCGGCTGAAGGAAAACAGTTTGAGCATTAGCTGTAAAGGTAAATCATCATCAGCAGCATTTTGACGCCCACTGTTGTGCAAACAGTTATCCTTAAGGGTCCTTGTGCGTTTTCATAATCGCTGTTTAATTAGGAAATTTTGAAAAATGTTCATCAGTTTTTCTTCAAATAAAAATTGTGCATAAGTTAACGAGTAATCTTCTAAGTGTTATACCATTTTGGAATCGTTATTAAATGCGCCAACTTTTAAGGTTACTTGCCAAACTCTCGTAGTACATTTTTTTTCCAGTACAGCCAGTTGAAGTTGAGCAAAGTTTTACTTTGGAATACTTGCTTGGGAAATAAGTGGCAATTTTTCCTGAACAAGAAAAGTTGGCAGTAAGGTTGAGACACCAGTTTGAAGATGCATTATTCATCATTACATTGTAAAAATAAAATCCAAAAAAAGTTAATATTTGTAGTAACAGGAGTTGACAGACTGCCGTAGGATGTGAAATTTCTATATCTTTTTCAAAGACCTATAATTTTCAAAACACACATAAAATTTTTTTAAATATTTTTCTGATAGCTGTTATGACTTTGCCTATCACCCGGTTTCGGTTTGACGTCGACTTCTATGCCAATGCGAGGAAGTATTGTATACGCGGAAATAGATAAAAATGAGATAGTTCCGTCAGATTATCTGTCTATCTGTTTATTCACTATTCCTCTATAAGACTGAAAGTAAAGCTTGGAATTTGATGAAATTTTTCAACAACACATACAGTACCAGAGCCCCATTTATCATCCCTAAAAAAGCTATCTAAAACGATCAGAATCCTCTAAAACGACAAAAAAAGATGTTACCTGTTGCCTCTAACTGCTCCGCCACTAAATAGATTTTCAAGAATAATAAAGCTTTTTCGTCCTTGGCATAGTAGTAACGTAAATGAGTGACATAGTTTTTCTTGATGTACATGCCATGTAACATCAAAAAACATAGCTATTTCTGAAATTTTTCGCGATTACAATACTTTCTCGTCAGTGGCTATATCACTATAATTATTCGTAGGTACATTCAAAAAAGTTAGACAGCAAATCCAAGATACCTGTCCCAAAACCAAGATTGAAAGTAAAAAACACGAACAAGTTGAAAATCAATCCACCATTGCTCAAAAAAGATGAAAACTCTAATGATGTTATCAGGAAAGGCTCCTCCAGTTCTGAGGATTATATTTCGATAGTTCTGAGATCAGAATCCGAGGAAAGTCTGGACAAAGTTAATAAAGAACTGAGTTTATTCACGATGGATAAGAATCCTAAGGAAAAGAAAAGGGGCAGTAGTTTTAGGAGGATCTTTATGGGAAAGATTTTCTCGAAAGATAATAAGAAGAAAGAAGAGGAAAAGCCTGTCACAACACCTCATAAAGAAACTGTGAGTATAAAAGGATTCAATGTATTCGAAGTATTCGATTATTGAAAAACTGCAAAGGCTTCGAAGTACTTAGAATTACACCCAGCTATAGTAGGGAATGGAAGATAGTAACATGACTCATCGCACGCCACTGTGTTCTCTCTCGTACACATTAGTCAGCCAAATTTGAATCTCACCATACAGGTTGTTCCTTAATGATATGCGAATATTTAAGAGTGTGAATCTACATGAAAAATTAATGTTACTTTGCTTTATAAACTATGGTCCAAAAATGTTTCCTGACTAAAAATCGGGGTGTTGAAGTTTTAGGAAAAAAATGGAAATTAATTAATATTTTCAGAACCGCTTCAGATATTTCACTGATATTTAGTACTTAGTGAAAGTTAATAAAGTTGCATATTTTTCAATGCAAAAATAATTTCTAACTTTAACAGTGGTGTGCGTACGGGTATTGACTTTGATATTATTTAAGAAAAAAATGTTACGACAATGGTTTTTTGCCAAATAAAAATTATTTTTTAATTCCCCATTCAATTTAAAACAAATGATCTCTCTTGAATTGTTTTCCTCCGATGCGCCATTTTTGAGTAAAAAAAAATAAATACCGTTCTATTGTCTGAGAAAATTAATGTAATAATTGAAGAATGCAATTTAGCAAGAAATATGTAGTTGCTCTGAAATATGTCACTGGCTTTTGACATCTGACAAGTCTCTGTTATTCAAATCTGTTCGCTGTGACATCTTTTTCATTATTTAGCTTTTACAATCTTGTTAATAATGGTCAATTATTCAAATGCAGAAATGGGGGAAATGCATTACGTATATGGCCTTGCCGACGGTAATGGTGAGCAAACCAGACGGATTTATCACCAGAGATATCCCGATCGTGCTTTGCCAGATAGTCGAACCTTTTCTAATATTCATCGTCGTCTTATTGAAACTGGTTCTGTCCGAAAAGGAACATCTGAAGGTAGACCTCTAAGTGTGAAAACACCTGAAATTGAGGAAGAGGTGCTGCACAAAGTCGAACAACATCCTGGAACGAGTACGAGGAAGATCGTTAAACACTTAAATATTTGCCATCAAATTGTTTGGAGAATTTTAGTGGATTTTTTGTTATATCCTCATCATATTTTAAGAGAACAGGCATTACTTCCCAAGGCGTGTGATCTTTTGTCAGTGGTATCTTCAAAAAATTTCACAAAATCCGCAATTTTAATCAATGATTCTGTTCACGGACGAAGCTAATTTTTCTCGAAATGCCATTCAGAATTTCCACAATAATCATTTGTGGGCAGAAGAAAATCCCTATGCCGTAACCGAAACCCATTTCCATCACCAATTTTCGGTTAACGTATGGGCAAGAATTATTGGCAACCACTTTATTGGCCCATTCTTCTTGCCGCGACGACTTGGCGGACAGGCTTACCTCAATTTTCTTCAACAATAGTTGCTTTTGCTGCTTGATAATGTTCCGTTAGTAATAAGAAACAATATGTGGTACATGCATGATGGTGCGCCAGCGCATTTCAGTGTAGCGATTCGTAATTATTTACAAACTGTTTATCCAAATCGTTGGATTGGCCGCGGTGGGCCCCAAGAATGGCCGACAAGGTCTCCAGACCTCAACAGTTTAGATTTCTTTTTGTGGGGCTATCTTAAGACACTAGTGTACACAAGTCCCATTAATACTGTAGAGGAATTAAGAGAAAGAATAGTTGCAGCTTGTGATAGAATAAAAAACACTGCAGTGATATTTCAACGAGTGCACAATTCCATGAGAAAATGAAGGCGGAAGCATGTATACTAAGTGGTTTTAATGTTATGTTTATGTTGTCAGTTGTTGTTGTTCATTACCCCTAATTTGTTTAATTTTTCCAATTAAATTAATAATAATTTTGCAAGTTAGACAATAGAACGGTTTTTATTTTGTTACTCAAAAATGGCGCATTGTAGGAAAATAATTCAAGAGAGATCATTTGTTTTAAATTGAACGGGGAATTGAAAAATAATGTCTATTTGGCAAAAAACCATTGGCGTACCATTTTTTGCTTAAAAAGTATCGAAGTCAGTACCCGTACGCACGCCACTGTTAAAGCTAAAAATTATTTTTGCATTGAAAAATATTCAACTTTATCAACTTTCACTACGTACTAAATATTAGTGAAATATCTGAAGCGGTCATGAAAATATTACTTAATTTCCATTTTTTTCCTAAAACTTCAACACCCCGAGTTTTTGTAAGGAAACATTTTGGACCATAGTTTATAAAGCAAACTAACATTAATTTTTCATGTAGATTCACACATTTAAATATTCGCAGATTAGCATCTGCTCGGAAAAATATTCTAATTCTGTTTTTTGCATAATTTTATTAAAAAAGAATCCCTTTTTAAAGAATATTTATGTTGCCAAGTCCTAAATTGTGTCAAACATGTTTTCTTGTTTGCTTCGAAAAATGGCTTTTTATGTTTTCTGTTCATTCTGAACAAAGGTTCACATAAACTTGTCCTGAAAGTTGATAGTTTCCGAGATATACGCAGTATTTGAAAAGTGTGAAACGTGCCATTAATTCTAATTGCAAGCCTTTCTTTTTTTTTTGATTGTTAATCAAGTGCGCCCTCTCCCAATGTATCAACTTTAGAGAAACGGTATACGAACCTTTTTAGTTCCAAAATTACTCAAAATCAATTTTTTGAATCTGTTTAATTACAATTTTTGACACAGTTTTGGGGCTGGCATCATGCAGATAAATCAAAAGGATTCCTCTTTGAATAAGATTATGCAAAAGTCAGAATCAAAATATTTTTTGAACGGATGCGAAGAAAATTCCTGGCCAACTATCGCATTAGCAGTGGCGTACCATGGTTCAGGTTGCTCTCTTCGATTTTGGTACTTGACTATAGTTAACAACTTTCCGACGGTCCGATTTATTTTTAATGGATATTAAATACTAATATGAATACTCGATTACACTGATATAGCTTGATTAGTGATTTTCAAATTGATTTCAAAGTATTTCAATGACATTCTGTTTCAGGTGAGCTTAAACGACAACATCAAAAATGAATCAAACGACTTCAACCGACAAACGAATTTGCGACATACAATTTCCGGCAACGATCCAAACGAGCTTCGACAAACGCGACCAATTACAAAACAAATGGAAGACAGATATGCTCAAATGCACATCAGAGAATTCCACCAGATAAAAAACAACTTCGAAAATCACAAAGCCCCGGAAAAACCGGCTAGATCGAACGGTCTTGGAACCATCACTTACCGAAGATTTGAACCTCAATATGGCGATGCCAGTTCCTCAGCTAGCACTTTAACTTCTGAAGGGACATTTGGAGAAAACGCGTCTACGAAACTTGAGCTTAAGCTTGTAAATTCGAATGCAATCATACCAATAAATTCTGAAAGACCATTGCCCAATCCGTATCAGTTTGGTAGGAATAGCGAAGAAATTTACGTTCAGGTAAGCATTTTTCATAAGAAAGCAAAAAATTATCAAAATCAAGGTTTAGGCCCACATTTATAAAGGACCCTTGAGAGCTCAGTGCCCATTGGCGGTTGATTAACTAAAATTCAGAGTCATGTGGAGATTTAAAATTTTTTGACAGTAGGCAGTTTTTCGGTATTTTAAAAATTTTCAGAATTTTCAAAAATTCAATTATTTTCAATATTTTAAAATTTTGGACAAAATGTCTCGCTACAAAACTTGAGATTAGGCTTGTAAATTTGAATGCAATCATACCAATATATCAGTTTGGTAGGAATAGCGAAGAGATTTACGTTCAGATAAGCATTTTTCATAAGAAAGAAAAAATATATCTAAATCAAGGTTTAAGCCCACATTTATAAAGGACCCTTGAGGACTAAGTGCCCATTGACGGTTGATTAACTCAAACAGTAACGCACTCTCCAGAGACATGGCAGTTTTTCGGTATTTTAAAAATTTTCGAGTTTTTTAAAAATTCCATTTTCAATATTTCAAAATTTTAAAAATATCCAAGGATTCATCATCGTAATTATCGAAATTTTCAAGAAATTTGCAAAATCATCGAAATATTCGAAACTCTCAATGCCTATTTTTTGTTTTTGACATTTTCTTAGTTATCAAGATTTTCAGGAAACTTGCAAAATCATGTGTATTTTCAATGACTATTTTTTGTTTTCGACATTTTCAGAATAAACAGAATTTTCGTATTTTCTCAAAAAGAGCTCATGTGGAAATTTAACATTTGCATTTCACAGTGGGCTGTAACAGTTGTCATCACAAGTTTCCAATATTTCCTAAATTTCCATTATTTAAGATTCAAAATTTAAAAAAGTTCCAAATATTTAAAATTTTCCAATTTTCAGGGATTTCAAATCACAAGTCTATGAATTTTCAAAGTTTTCAAAATTCCCGGAATTTTCAGGATTTTATAAATTGTCAAAAGTTTTCAAAATATCCAAGGATTCGTTATTTTCAGTTTTCAAAAATTTTAAGAATTTCGAGAAACTTGCAAAATCATCTTAATTTGCAAAACTTTCAATTCCTATTTTTTTTTTTCGAAGATTTCGAAATCATAATTCTATCAATTTTAAAAGTGATTTTCAGCTTTAAGATTTTCTAAATTTTAAAAATCGACATATTCTAAATTTTCAAAATAATCAAAATTTTCATGTTTTCCAAAATGTTTGAAGTTTACAAAGCATTGAATATTTGGGTCTTGATAATTTGAAAATGTGATTATTTCGGAAACTTGGAAGTTTGAAAATTTGAAAAACCTTGAAGACGTGAAAAAGTCAAATTTTCGATAATTTCAAGTATTTTGGATTCTAAAAATTTAAAAACGTTTCGGAAACCGGTGCTCACAAGTATACATACTGTTAAATGAGAATATCATATCTCCACTTGATGGTCACTGAAGAAAATTTAGTGAATATTTCTAATGTTGGCCATATTTTAAGACTTTTCATTCACTGCATTGTGGCGTCGATCGCGTGTGGCTTAATTATGAATGTTAATGCTTGCCAAAGCATAAACGTTCCGTATAGTATATTTAACCATTATTAGGTAAACTTTTGGAAGATTAGCGAAATCCGTAAGCTTAACACCTTTCATTTTATTTATTTGTATTTATATAATATCGCACAGCACTCTGGCCAAGATACAAATAGTATATTGCGAATGATCAGTTTGAGCACTAAGGATAAATGCAGTATGCAAGGGCCGTCACGTCGTCCGGCTGCTTCAGTGCCGTGGTCCAGAAACCGAACTTATGTCATGTGACGTCACCACCGAAGCTCGACACGCAAGGGCGGTCGATTATAGTACTCAACACAGAAAGTCATAACTCCCTTAAATTTTAAGTTGCCTGAATAATTCTTTCAGATTTGTGAAAGATAATATTATATGCAAGTGAAACTGTATTGTTCAGTCAGCACTCAGTCCTCAAGGGCTTACTATAAATAGGGGCCGTAATCATTTCGTCTTTTAGCAACGTAATTCACCCGCAAGTTCCGATTCAAAAATGAAGAGGTCACCCTCAATTGAAGTAAGCAAGTTGAAGCTCCCACCGAATAGAGACGTCTCCTTACCCAGAGTGAAGTCACCCGTTTCCCACGATTACTATAATACAGATAAGGAGATCGCTACAGAACTGTTGAAACCCAAACGATCGCCCACACCAAACCAAAATATGAAGACACTGAGTCCTACTCAGAAGGTAAGAAGTTTGAGTATATATGTTCAATGCCCATCAAACCATGTTTTCTTTCTTCTAGGCTCTTGCATCCTCCGTGAATTATCCAGAGAATATCCGCAATTTGAGTCCAAGTCAGCAGAATTCGTCTTCATCTGTAGAGTACAGAGACAACATTTTTGAAGACAGAAGAGATGAATCCTTTCCACAAAACAGACAGGCATTTTTCCCTGTTGTGAACAAAGATGGAATTTACGAAAAAATGGTTAATGAGGCTCTAAGTCCTGTCCATGATGAAGAAAAAAGAGGTATTTTATTTATATTCAATAATCAATGTTATTGATCATTATTATCTGAGCATATGTTTTGCAGGATCATTCTCACCAATATACAACATTCATGGAAGTAGGGCAAACCAGTCTCAAAGTCCAGTTTACATAGAAGACAGAAGAAATGAACCATCTCCTATTATGAAGCGTTCTCCATCCTCAGAAAAAGAAAATAGTTATGAAAAAAGATTGATTGGTCGACCTAGCCCATCACCGAGAATGTTTTTGCAGCAAAATAATCCTAGTGGAGGTGGTAGAAGTAAATCTGAATCCCCTTACGGTCAAGCATCCTCAAGATCTGCAAATGAAAATCAAATTGCGAGAAAAAATGTTAACGAATCTTTTAGTCCAACACGGAGAATGTTTCAGTCACTCAACATGAAAAGAGACAGTCCGTGTGATGATAGAAGAAATGATTCTGGAACCCCTGTTTCAGCTATGGATCAAGAAGAGATCTACAGAAGAAATGCCTGTGGGTCGCTCAACAGAAACAGAAATTGTCCAGGTGATATTAGACGAAATAACTCTGAAGCACCTGTTTCACCCACAGATCAAGATCAATTTTATAGAAACGATGCATACGTATCTATGAATATGCCTTCCTCCTCAAGTACAGCTCATCAAACCTCCCTGGATTATCCAGATAATGTACAACAGAACAATGCAAATAGAAATGTGGAGCCTCAATATTCTTCCAGGTTTCAAAACAGACAAAATCAAAGTATCTCAAGAAACGAGTCCCCTCAGTATTCTTCTAGGTTGCAAAACAAAGATAAGTTCAATATGGATAGAGATGAGGGGAATTCAAGTCCAGCTGATAGTCAAAGATCTTCCCGATGTTCTGAAAATCAAAGTGTTTCGAGAGCTTCTGATCAGGTAAGTTTAATGCTCGCATTCTTTGCAGGACCTTATCGTCTATGCCCTGCGTGAATCCAATAAGTGTCACTCATATTCTAAGATACTGTGTGTATTTGTAAGTAAAGTAAAACCACCAATTATATGAAAAAGTGACTTATCAAAATGTTTTAGTCTAAGAAAGCAATAATAATTTTCTTACAGGATTTGTGGAAAACGAGGCAAAATTCCGACTATGCAGCGTTCCATTCCCCTGGCAGCTACCATAGTTCTCCATCCTCAGACCAGGTGAAGCAAACAGTTGGAAGACTAGAGACCACAGAAAACAATATACAAAATCTCAAAACGATTCCTACAGGTCCTACAAAAAGGAATTCAGTGAATATGAACCAAAATATACCAAAATACCTATCAGAAACAGAACAGTATGTACCTGTCAATCAAAGCATACCTCGTAGTCCAGATCATATGGCGAATCATCCAAGCTCAAATTCTCGAATGAACTCTGATTTTCATCGAAATACCCAAAATTCATCCAATCAAAGATCAGTGCATTTACTCGAAGACCAAGGTGTGAGACCCAATATGAATCCGAATGAACTCCGGCATACATTTGATAATAACCAAAATAGATATATGCAATCTGAACAGGCAATGTCAGTTGAAACTAGGCAAAATCGAGGAATGTATCCACCTCAAAATATAAACCACAACCTCCAGCACCATAGAAATATCGCGCCTCAAAACATGAGGCATAGCACTCAACCTTGGGAGCATCAGCTGATCAGAAACATCCCTCCTCCACCTAGACCTCAAAGGCAAGTTTTTTTCCCACCAGAATCACCAAATTACGGCGTTTACAAAAATGTCCCACCACCTGTTAATTTGGTCAGAAGCAGCACCCCAACTAACTTGAATCCATCTCCTTCGAAACCAATTTCCCCTCAGAAAGAGGACTTGAGGAGGAGTGTAGAGGCTTACTATTGGAAAGAAATCAAGAAACTGAAAGAGCAGGAGAACCTAGAGTTGTCTTACTACCAAATGAATATGGTGCCATACATGGCGTATGCTGAAGATCCTGGGAGTCTAAGAAGATCTAGGAGTTCGTTGCCTAGCGAGAGAAATAGTAGAAGAAGCCTGAGTTTGCCTAGAAATGTACCTAATAATGATAATAGGTGAGTACAATACGAATTCCCAAACCTCAATCTCGTCATTTTGTTGCATTGGATGCCACCATATACTGAGCTTACTATACTGATGTGTCAGGCTTAGGCGTCTTTTCATCTTAATTGTTGTGTATTGCAAACGAGGCAGTATAAATACTTATTTCTAAGTTATTGGAAGATCATCAAAACTATCAAAAACTTTCCTCGACCTTTTCTGTAGAAGTCTTTGTACTACAATTTTTAAGCACTGCTTTGATGGCTGCTATGATATAAAAAATGGAAATAATTCGTTCACTGCCATATTGTTGATTGTTGTACTGTATTTGTAAATATTATAGATACTCCAGGCTGATTACGGCTAAAGCTCCGTTTTCTGATGTAGCTGAGATTCACATTCGAGATATTTCAGGACGCTGTGGATACCAAGAATATCGACATTACAAAGGGTGAGCTGGAGCGTTGTCATGGTGGAGGTACCAAATGTCCATTCTTGTCTTTGGCCGCAGGTTTTCCATTGACTCTATGACTTTAGACAGGTCCTGTTCCGTGTACCACTTAGCTGTGACTGTCTTCTGTATGCCCCTTATCAAACATTTTCAGCATCTTTCGGCACCAAGTCGTACGACAAGTCTTCTGCTCTTCCGTCAGACTATGCGGTACCCAGACAGAACAAAGTTTCCTTGCAAATGGTCATGCAGAATTAAATGAATTGATGGTGCATAAAGGTGTAAGGTCTCCTCTATCTGTTAGTATGTTACTCTCCGGTCTTCGTCAAGCATTTTCCTCACAGCAATAATGTTTTCCTCTGTTACTGAGGTTCGCGCCCTTCCTTCCCTCTTGGCGTCTTCAGGTGTCAAATTGCCCCTTTGGAATTCTCTGTACCACCTGAATATAGTCTTAATGCAAGCGTCATTTCTTCTAAGCACTGGTCTATGCTTAAACCACGCGTAAAGTTATACCGTAAAACTGCCCTTATCTCACGACGTGACCACGATGCCATAGTCCATACTTTACACTGTCAATACGAATGAATAACTAAATCAACAGACATGCTGCTGGCGGCTACTATGCACCCATGAACATGTCTCAGTATGCAGCCTCCTGTGACAGTTTGTAAAGTCTTATTGCAAAACTTTCATAGTACCCTTTGTACAAACACGATATCATGAAAAACCTCCAATGGAAAGCTCGGCTATTTCAGAAAACTTACACCTCAAACCGAATTCGCCTTAGTTTATTCTGACTATTATCATTTCTGTATTAATTTCTAGCAATGAACCTGTGATGATAAGGCAGCATCCGGTACCCAGACCAGTGATATACCAAAACGACCCAATTTATGGACAACAGTTCAAGCGGAATACTCCAGAAAGGAGGACTGTAGATGGTTCCAATAGAACAAACTCTATCTACAGACCAATTTTCAAAAGAGGCAGCTTGACCACACCAGTGAAACAACAGGACGATCCTCAGTACAAGAAAGTCAGTTTCCGGCATTTTAAGGAAAATCTGCCTAGGAGACAGAATGAACACATAAATTCTAGGATAAGAAGTAATAATGTACAACAACCCGTGAGATATTCAATGAACATGGGTGAAGGTGTATATGGTAACCCCAATGAAATATATCCAAGATATGTGCCGCAGGTACAACAAAACAGATATCCGAATATACCAGAGCAAGAAATACAACATGTAGTACCAAGAGGTGTAACGCGCCATGGCTCCATACAATTACAAGAAGGTGAATATTGAAATGCAATTGAACAATATACAGGGTGTTTCGCATAAAAACAGACACAGCAGGGGCATGTAAGGGTACCCAAAATCACGCAACTTACCTAAAAGTGTGGTTTCAAAGTCCGAAAAAATAACATCTCACTTATTCTTTAAATCAGAAAAAGCAAATTTGGTATACGTGTTGACGAACCCGAAGCGTCCTAGCACTGATCCCGTTTCTTTGGATGGCCGAGTTATATCAAAGAGCCGTTCATTTCGGCTAGTATGAGTCCAGATCACCGAGGACTTGATCTGGCACGAAGACATTTCGTAAACAGAGGCAGTTGCTGGAAAAGACTAGGCTAATCATTTAGGGCTAAGAAGTACATTCCTCCACATGACCTCCTCACTCTGAACATAGCCCAAATAAGTACTGCTGACGTTTAAGGTTTTGCCTCCCCAACTACATTATGCACACAGCCAGTCTCGGGATCCTTTCGCACCAGCGGGCCGTCAGCGCTTTGTATCTTTAATATTTTTGTGACGGATAAGCACTTTTTTAAATAATTTTGGGGACAGACACACAAAAGGGACTGCAATCCACTTTCAACTAATGCAGAGTAACTGCTCAACGCTGTGCTTTTCCCTACGTTGTAGCTAATTGTTCTTATAATAAAGGTGTGGCCAATTCTGGCACTGGATGGCACTTTGTGATGTCTTAGTTTGATTGACCATACACTCTGGATAGAGGATGATTGCTCAGCTTTCGTTTGTAGTTATACGTGAAACCAAACTGGATAAAATAAACTTATAGAAATGTTTTAGAATTACTTAGTTCAAATTTCTTCAGGCATCTACGATAGGAGACCTCCAGTGGCCAGAAAACCATCAGTCGAAGGCAACTTTACAAGGCGAGGTGCAGATTTGCCCAAACGAGAAATTATAATGGGAGATAATGAGATCTTTGGCCAGTTTGGAGGATACTTACCGAATGAAGAGCCTATGTATGGTAGTAATATGATGTCTGCTCAAGAATCTATTTATGGTCAGTGCAGGGGACCAAAACAAATAATTGTTAGCGATAAAGTATGTGATATGTATGGACAGATTCACGACAGGTAAGATTGAACCATTAAGCATAATCATAATATAAAAATAGAAGTAGCTATGGTTATTTTTCCTTCTTGTTAATACAATTTCTATTGATGTACTATTATAATTTTTGGCATATTTCAACTTTTGACGCTTCAATAGCCTTTTGCTAAGGATACAATGTCAATTATAATTATTCTATTACACATTTTTTAATCAATTTTATGTAATTTTACATTCTTATCTATTAAAATAAGATCTCTATTCATTTACGGCATACATGAAGTGATTTTTTAATTTCACCTTAAACATTTTTAAATTCGAACACTTAATATCATTATTCAATTTATTAAATTCAAACCCGTTGAAATACAGATTTTCTAGTTATGCTACTACATGTTTGCAAATGAAAATCTATACTACGTCTAGTTTCATAGTTATGATAATGACTATTTAATTTTGTGAAGTTTTCTAAATGTGATAGTAATAAATGTTTTCGCCAAATCTTTTGGCTTCTCGTCTCTTTCAGTGCAACAAGGAACTTATTCCAGAACCGTTATGATGTACAAGAGGTTCTTGTGATTTCAGAGGCGTAGGAGTTCAGAACGGTTCTGGGATAATTTTGTAGAAACCCGAATGTCGTAGTGTTAGTAGACAGTACTTCTATATTTCAGGAATAGTCCCACTGTGGTAAGGAAATCTGGTGTTATGATGGGTCGGCTGCAGCAGCAGGCACCTCAAGCACCAATACATCAGTCGCAAGAAACTCCAGAGTTCCTCCAAAGAAACTCTAGGTTGACATCTAGCGCCACTGATATACGTAGTGGAAGAATTCAAAATATGCCACAGGTAAGATACCATTACTGACATTGATTTGTAAGGTTTTGTAGACTGTTTATATGGACGAACATGGAAAATAAATGTCTCTGTTTCCCATTTTAGCAAAATCCTCATCCGATGTACCAAGAGGGCATCTACAGTGAATATCCCCCTTCAAGACCTTTACCTCCAGTTCCTAATAACCAGAAAGAATCTTCGAAGCCAGAAACTTCCAAAGGTGCAAAAGAACATAGAAGGCGGAGTGGTAGCACCAGTAGTGTCAAAACTAAGAAAAAAGGGTTCTTTGGTGAGTGAAGCTACTCATCGGGTGCAGCCATATAACTAACCATTAGTACTTATTTCTTCATTTGCCATCGTTTTAATAGATATGGTTGGGTAAGCAGGAATACACGCTAAAGTATCTAAAAATGGGATCCTTAGGGACTAAGTATCTTTTTGCATTTCTGTACTTATAGCTTAACTATTCGACTAGAAGAGCATGTGGTCCAAAATGATTTAATGGAATCAGGTGCTACTTTTCAACGTCGAGACATATCTATAAGCAGTTGACTGATCCAAAATTCCGCTCTAGATGTTGTGGCAGTATCGAATTTGATGTTAGCAGTATTTTACTACTTCGTAGTACTCTTTCCATTATAGTATTCTTCAATGCCCCACAATTCTGCCAAATTATCTTTAAGTATTTATTATATTATATATTCTTATTGTCAAGTTTTGCATTATACTAAATTCGTTCCTGTCACGGTCGGGTGGTTATATCACTGTGTGTCCTAATTCGAAATCTGAATTTCTCGGTCTATTGCCACTTTTGTGATGGAATGTGCCACTACTGTTTCACTATTAGCATTGATTAACGTATTCTACTAGAAGTTAGCCAAATTAATGCTATATTCCCGCGTCCAAAATAAAATGAGATACCGAAAGGCGATCTAAATATAAGAATCCGTTACAGCTGTTTCTCTATTTACTACATAGAAGGTTAGTGTCTCACAGATGTTTTTTATACTCCGGCTACCACGAAGGCCTAAGGCCTAAACACTCATGGGGTACCGTGGAGCTATAGGGGGATACAGGGGAAAGGGGTGGGGGGCACACGGACTCTAGCGAGGGAACACGTGTGCATGCAGCATGCACAGATTCTGGCCACCCATACGGACAATCACGACATCCATAGCCAAGAGAAATATTTCTCTTGGGATGGGATTCGAACCTTCGCAGCGCTCGGCGACTGATCAGAAGACGAAGCGTCTACCTCTGCGGCCACCGCTGCTGGGGCTGCCTATATGCTTGTATATGTTCATATAATTGGCTACATCGCCATCTATGAGACACCTTTTCAGAGTTCCGAAGTATATATTAATAGAGAAACAGCTGTGACAAATTCTCATAGATGATGCTAGGGTAACTCATTTTATTTCGAATATATTTTGCACGCGGGGGTATAGCATTAGGTTGGGTATCTTCAAGTCAAATATGTTAATCAATACTATTAGCTCCACCAGACGGTGACCTAGATGGTGTGTTCGAGGAAGAGTACTAAAGTTTTCGGCTCCAGTAATCCCCAGTTTTAACACGGTTACAGTATTCCATTCTACTTCAGGAAACAAAAATTTGGAATCACTTGTTTAATATACTTTCTGCAGAAGCTTAAATCTATATTTTCAACCTATATTTCATATATTCTTCCTCGGATGCTACAATCTAGAATTGAAGGTTGCTTTTGTATATAAATATTTGTAAAAAATATATTTTCTATATTATTGTGTACAATAAAATTTTATAATAAGACACTAACTTACGTACTTATATGTAAAGTGCCTCTGTAATAAACTGTACTCTCGCTTAAAACTGAGTTTTATTGACAACTTATTATTCCAATAACATCTTCAATTCTGGATTGATCACCGTCATTTTCATCAAAACATGTACTGTGAAGGATGAGCGAAATTAGCCCGGAATCAGTCCGATCCAGAGCTTTGCTGCTGACAGCACTTTACAGGTAGGCATTCCGAGTGTTTCTGCCAATGAGATGAAGAGAAGAAGACTAGTAGCGACTTCCACTCACGAGAGATCAGGAAGTTATCACGGCTGGGGTACCTAACAATTTGATGCAGTTTAATGCTTCCAAGACACACATTAATAGGAAACGTACTTCCCGTTGCGATACATGACTATGTATAGTCTGCTGGGAAACAGTTGGGTTATATTTGTTTAGCCGCAAGAACTGCTCACATATTTGGGGCGCTACTGCTCGGGCTACACTTTCCATACTCTCGATGCTGTTCGACGACCAGGCTGTCTTCTACCACTATACCAAATTACTGTTTTTCTCAGCTTTCCCATATGATGTTGCGGCGTTTTGAGCCTAGCAGACGTACCCACCAGGCTACTGCCTCCAATTCTGACTCTAACTTTGTACATCCAAGACTGTACCAATTTTTCGTTCGTAGCAAGTCGAAATAGAGGCTTTTCCAGTTCTTGTTCTACTAACATTATGCAGTTCAAAAATCGGAATAAGAAGGCATCTTTAATTTAAGCCCCTTATAGGGAGTTGCGAATCCTCTGTAATTAGGTTTCGGCATACGCCGGATAAATATATAAAAAAAAAGAAATTACAGTAATCGTAAAAGTTTGAGACAATATGTACGTAAATCAATACATAATATGCTTTAAGCCGATTTCTCATAAATGTTAGAACTAATTTGACCGGCTTATTTGCTTATTTCAGTCACATGAAATGCTATTTCAAAACTTCTAGCAAAAAGAGAGCCTGTGAGCATTGTTTACCTAGAAAAAGTAAGTAATTTGGGAAGCTAAGATGGTTAATCGGTGCGGAGATTTTTTGGTTTGCAAGTAGTGGAGAGCATCAATGTTGCTGAAGAATGAAGGCTTTCACGGCTTCTTCTAATGTCATTTAGGTTTTTCCGGGGTCGGGTTGGATTTTCTCCAGACCTTTCAGCTACATCTGCTGTTGCTGTTAATCCCGCAGATATTCGTAAAACAAATTTTATCTTCGATGTTGTTCCCTCGAGTCCACCCTCCCTCCTCCCGGATATTCCGAGAGTGGAGTGAGTTTACGTCCGAAATTGTTAGTACTCGAGGGATATCTATCATCATTAATTTCTTTGTTGATACACTATACTAAGTGTGTGGTCTATCGAATTAAGACAGCGCAAAGCGCCATCTGCCACTAGAATCGGCCACTGTGAAACAGTGAATTGCATCTCTCACCGGTCGCGGATACAGATCTACAGGGAAAACCAAATTTGTCTGACTGCTTGAGTTCAATGTGTATGAGAGAGAAGCGCTAGAAATGATAGAAAGAGATAGAAGCCGGCTGAAAAGCGAAGGTCATCACCACATTGCCTAGCGACGGTGACGCAATCTGGCGCGTTGCAAATGTGTTACTCCATAAAATGTTCGCACAGGTTTCTACAATAGGTAAGGCTGTCAAACATAACAAGGATGTATGTTCGAACACCTAATTTAATATTTTGTTTCCATGTTGATTAGAATTATTTATTTAAATTTTGATGCGACTCAATGTTTTAATATACAGGGTGCGGCAGAGAGGACGGACGTTTTTGGGATGGCTAGTACTCTCCGCCTCCGTCTACGAGAGAGGTGGGGAGGGTGCCGTTTGACTCGTGAGATCCTAGCATTATTTTACCAGTTGTCGTTATGGTGCCTTGGATGGTGGAGCACCGCGTTTTCGCCTATGAGTGACGAAGCCCACTTTCACCTAAACAGCATGGTTAACCAGCAGAATTGTCGTTATTGTGCTAATGAAAATCCGCAACAGTTACACGAAAGACCGCTGCACAGCCCAAAAGTAACGGTTTGGTGCGCTGTATCGCAAACTTGCATCATTGGCCCTTACTTCTTCGAAGACGGTAATGGTCGTGACGTTACCGTGAACTCAGAGCGCTACGTCCACATGATCACCAACTTCTTTCTCCCTGAATTACGACGGCGACGTGTTCCAATCCGACGTGTGTGGTTCCAGCAGGATGGGGCGACCGCCCACACAGCCCGAGCATCCATGGACGTTACTCGCCCTCTCTTCCCTGGTCGCCTTATTTCCAGGTTTGGCGATGTTCATTGGCCTCCTCGGTCCCCAGATTTATCCATATGCGATTTTTTCTTATGGGGACACCTCAAGGCTAGAGTATACGCGAACAAGCCCAGAACTCTGGACGAATTGAAGGGCGAAATTCGCGTGGAAGTCGCCCAAGTTGAGAGAGCGATGTTGGAGAAATCTACGCGGACTTCCAAGAACGCCTCCAGCACTGCATCAACGATTTCGGCCACCACATGCCTGATGTGATTTTCCACACTTGACTGTCTCAAATGCTATTTCCTTGTGAACCTGATTCCATCAATAAATTTGTTTTCGAGTAAAAATTAACTATTTTATGAGTTTTTTAAAACCGTCCATCCTCTCTGCCGCACCCTGTACTTTAGAATTATCTTTGATTTCCACGCATGGTGATAAAATAAAAAACAAATACCATTACAAATTACCACTGCCGGCGTGAACGCAGACCCAATGAGCGCTGGATGAGTACAGACCAAAATCGGGAGGTGGAAACCTTGCCTTGGAATGTACGAGATGCTGTGTTGCCAAGCGAATCAATGATGGCATGTTGTAGAATTTGTGGCGATCCTGACCTCAAATGGAGCGCCGTTAGGACCGATCCGGAATCGATCCAAAACAAATTCGACGCAATTCACAATTCAAAAATGTGTACGCTCTAAATAAACTCATTGAACTCTATCAGCCACACAAATTTGGTTCTCAGTGTAGACAAAATATACATAGGTAGATTGTATTATTTCAGACACCGCCAATATAACATAGCGATAACATTGCAGGTACCAAAAATAGAAGGGCATCATTAGAGCATTTAGAAACAGAAGAATCAAGGCAACTGAGCACTACGGAATTACAACGCCTTGTTCTATTGGAACAACTACATTTAGTCAGGCTACAGACAAAATTGGAGGCTGAGAAGCTCTCGGAAAAGTAGATGTCGAACTACGTCACGGCTCAAATTTCATGTGAAAATTTTTTTAGATGTAGTGCAAGAGGAAAGGACCATATAATAAATGAGATATGTAGATATTCAGTTTCTAGTGATTGTTGTAGTACTTACGTAGCATCTTTTTCCTCAATTATAAGATTCTATCACTAGAAGGAAGTGATATGTCATGGTATGGGTGTCAAACTGAAAAATAATTATCTTTTGCTACTTTTAGATATTGTAAATAGGTTTTCGGCTTATATTTTTGAGAATGTGAATTTTTATTTGTGAAAATGATGTACAATAAAAACTTGTACCAAGATATAACATAGTATTTGTATATCGGAAAAATATAACATTGCGACTAAAGTAGAAGAAAAAATACAAGTAGATATCAACATTTAGTAGTATATTTATGTAAAATATAATTCCATTTTATAATACATTAAATCAGTATCTATAAAGGACTACTATCACAATTAAAATTGTTAAACAACACAAGAAGCATTTAATGCTATAAAAGCGTATTTTTCCACAGAAACGTTCAATAAATGACAACCTGCAGGTACTATACGGAGAGCTTTTCATAGAAAATACTACTAAAAAAATGGCATCAAATAGGCTGATTTTGCACTTGTACATGTACAACAAAAAAAATAACTGGATCAAGTTAGTCAAACAGGTCCATAGACATTATTTCCCTGCCCTACCGGTAATACTGACAACGTCGCCCTTCCGCACACTCTCCGCATGACGCGGCAATATAGGAAACTCATAAAGACCGGCACGCCAGCTGCTGAACACAGGACAACAAAACCAGGGACGCGTATCGGAAACATTTTTCATTCAAGTTTCAATGACAAATGTGCAGGGAAATTTATCATGTGTGAAATATGTTCCAATAGGTGCGTATAATAACCGGTGTTCGGAGCTTATAACTATACTAACAAAAAGCATTTGAGATATACCTACCGCTTACAACCCCAATACAAAGACTTTTCTGAAAATATTGAGGAGCTGCTGAAATATCAAAAAAAAGTTTGAAGAATTTTATTTTTTTGCCCCTAGCTCCGCCACCACTTGACCGAATTTCAAAATACAATATCTCATTTTCGAACTTTTTAACGATTACAATACTTCCTCGCCAGCAGGCGTGAGGTAAATTAAAATATGTAAAATTAAACATAAAAATAGCTGTTCAAAACGGCTTGCTGAATAAATTAATAAACACATATACAGGGTGTTCATTTGAATATTCCCCACCACAGATTTATGGAAAATTACTGATTAAAAGAAAAAACGTCAGACGCATCAAAAGATTTGTCAAGGGGACAGCTTTTTAACCAAAAACTACTTCACTTCCAGGGTCATTCACTTAACAATTTTAAATGACAAGGGGTATCGAGTAATAGCTTATTTGAACGTCCTTTATTTAGGTTTGATTTTTTAAAATCAGTCGTTTTCACGACACACACACCAAAATATCACATTTTATTTCAATAAACGTTCAAAATGTTGCCCATTAGGTGTTTACCAAATCTACAATTCGTTTATAATTTAAAACGGAAACTGCCAACATAAACAGCAACAGCGACAACCAAATAACCCGATTTTTTTTCCGCATTCTTTTCATCAACCCAGATATTCTGGGCGAACCTGTTTAGTTATTTGTTGCTTAGGGAAAGAAATAATTTAATTTGCTGTCAGTTACCTTTGTGACAATCTTGGGATAGTGAAAATTAATTTATTAATTCAGATTTTACTTCCAAAATGGTTTACACACTAGCCGAAAGATTGGAAATGATCCTAATTCATGGTGGATCATTATCATCCCTTTAGACAAAGCAAAAAATCCAACCACTCATAATCATTTGCGGCCTGTTAGTTTGCTGTGCTTTTGTTCGAAGGTATTAGAGAAAGCAGTGTACATTCAACTAGTGGAATATTTAGAGCAAAATAACTTGTTTCCTCCTCATCAATCAGGATTTCGTGCGGGACATAGCACTACTTCAGCTTTGCTACATCTAACTGACAACATCGTAGGTAACTTAGACAGACATATGAATACCATATTAGTGGTGATTGATTTTTCAAAAGCCTTTGATACAGATAATCACAAAATCATGTTCAGCAAGCTGAAGTACATTGGACTATCTGAAAAAAGAAAACAGGTAGTTAAGACGGTCAGGGGCGTCTCTTCTAGTACTGTGGTTTCGTCTGGCGTTCCGCAGGGGTCAGTTCTGGGATCTATGCTATATTTAATTTACACTATAGACTTCGACTCATGTGTTGAATTTTGTTCTATACAAACGTATGCTGATGACATACAATTATCATTTCACTTCAAATATGCTCAGTTAAATGAAGTGTCGTTTAAAATTAATACTGACCTAATCAATATTACGGATTTTTGTAAAAAGCACTGTCTCATGATCAATCCTGAAAAGAGTTCAAGTATGCTTTTTTCTCCGAAACACATTAATAATAACACAAAGGACGCAATTGTACTCATTATAAATAACGAGCACATCCCCATGGTAGAACATTCTAAAAACCTGGGTGTTATCTTGGACTCCAACTTGAAGTTTGATAGACACATCGGTTACCTGTCTCAGAAAATGAATGCCAAATTAAAACTTTTATACTCTAACCGGTTCATTTTAAACTTTAAAACTAGGAAAAAATTAGTTGAAAGCTTGATCCTGTCATATTTGTAACATTCTCTGATTTTATTCTATTCTTATTTGGATTCGTCGGATCGGTATAGGTTACAAAAAATTCAAAACGGCTGCTAATTTTCTTGAGAACGAAGGACTTCGAAAGACCTTTTAAACAAGATATTACTCGATACCCCTTGTCATTTGAAATAAATAAATCTGATGTGTTGAAAGTTTTCAAATGAACACCCTGTATGAAGTAAACATTACTGGCCTCACATAATGGTATCAATAATCTTGGTAAACTAAAAATATCACTCTGTAGACTGCCGCTTTTTCAAAGCTTATCACGAAAATAAAGGTTTATCCTATTATTTCAGCTTGATTTTGTGCAGTTTCAACTTAAACCCTAGTATTTCTGAAAAAACACCAGAGAGTGCTGAGAGAATTACTAGTTTTGTGACGTTGTACAGTATAGGGTTCGCAGAAAGTCCAGATATCTTGAAAGGGTTTTCTAATTCCTGAAACGAAAAAGTCTTGTTAAATTTGGTTCACACTAACAACTAATCAAACAATGAAAACTTGTCTATATTCCGAAAAAGGAAAGGAAAATCTTGTATACAATGAATATGACATATTCAATCTGCCTGATCTACTGATCGAGTCGTCAAACATTTTTGCACGGTGACGAAAATGACAAAGTCGCATGTACAGATCGCCAAAGATAAATCGTAGCGATACCAAATATTTCTTACGCTTCTACCAACAATCCTCAATGTTTGTCTGGCTGCTAAAAGAAACCACATATTTTGCATTGAATATTTAGTGGCCTTTTTCAAGTACAAATGATAATTCTGATGAAAAATATAAACGTCGTGCCAGTAAAAAGTAATTCAAAAATAAGTGGGCTGATTTAGCGGCCACACAAACATTGAGGGTTATCAGTATGAAAACCTCAGATTAAGTTTCAAATTTACATTAGTACTGTTTACCTTTAGGAGATCTATAGCTAACTTGAGAACATTGTTAGCAACATTAAGCTCGTCCTTTTTATGCGGTTTTTGCTCAATCTGTAGATGCAAATTAATCTGTTCTGTTATTAGAACGGGCAGATTTCTATATTTCTTGTTGATTTTTGTACCAAGCGTCATGAACCTCAGTAGAAAAATGCCCAAGCCCAAGCACCAAATCAGGGCCTCCATATACGCTAAGGAGAAGACTACTGAATCCTGCAAGCAAAAATACACGTCATCTTCCTCAAAATTTATGGTGTCAATACTTTTTCTGAATATTTTGGTATTGATCAAGTTGCAGTTCGCGAAAATCAAAAGTTTGCCTCTCTTGTTGGCCTTACAAGGAAGGTTTCCTTGAAACAATGTAATCCTAAAATACTCTTCAGGGTCCTGACTTTAATTCAGACACTTCTCAAAAATAGTATTTTTTACCCGAGCATTGAAAATGCCCATTTTTAGGGTTCTTCAGACACTAAATTATAGACAGAAAGCGATCAACTTAAGAAAAAAATTAGGGACCTTTTTGTTCAGAAGAAACTTTATTCGGAGCGAAAATACAACTACCTGTATGCAAAGTGAAATGTGCCATTCATGCACCCACGAAATAGCCATGATGACTGTTTTTAAAACTAAAGAAAACTGAGAATTACATTACGAAAAACTTCTATTTTTTGCGTGATATTCCGTGATGGAATTGGGAGATATAACCCTTTTGAGTAAATGTCTTCAATCAAAATCATCCGACTAGAACAATCGCATAATTTACAAGTCCTGAACGCCCCACCATTGGAAATAAGTCATATTTATTACTGCATAATATGATTTTTAGCTTTCAAAGAAAAATTAAGGAAAATGTGGAGAATTTTTTTGTCACTTTAATTATATTTTTTTTACTTTTACCACTATGAATATTTGCATCGTTAGATCCAATCTTCACACTTCTTGACAAGCTTTTGGAATATGGTAGGAATGTAACGGGGGGAGGGGTCCACCAAAACCAGCAAATTTTTTTAGGTGGTCTATGAGAAAAAAATTGGGAACAACGGCTGTACAGGGTGTTTCAGAAAGACGTGCCAATATTTCTAAGATAGAAAGTGTATTCAAAAATAACAAAAAAGGCCCTATAAATATGCTTCCATAGCGAGATTCAGGCTGATGAAGTTTTATTAACGAAATTGAAAGAATATATCTACAGAGCGGATAAAGATACTGACTTAAGATTTTAGACGTTCAGTGACCACAGCATCAATAATAAACACACAGAGTTTGCCGGCCCAAACAAGACCAGGACGGAGAAACAGGGAACCTAGACACCGAGTAGGAAATATTTCCTACGCCACTGACATTTTCGGAGAAAAGAAGTGCATTTTATAAAATAAAATTCAAATTTCCATAATTTTTGTCTCTGAAGGAATTTTTGTCAGATCACTCGTTCTGGGGTTTGAATATTTGAGGTAAAATCATAAAGTATGAAGCTTGATATAGGAAGCACTATATGGCATGTGGAAAAAGCTGTGGCACCTCATTATAACGTTAATGAGCAGGGGCGCAACTTTAGAAACCTATTTATAGGAGTTTTTTTTTGTTAGTTTTGGATCTACTTTCTACCCTAGAAATATTGGCACGTCTGTAGAGGATACCATTAAAAATCCTTACCTTCAAGACTTCGACGCACAAAAACGTCAACAACAGCAAGTTTGCGATGAAAGCAGTAGAAACGATGACATCCACTGACCTCTGTGGTCCACGTTTTTTGAGGTATGACCTCACTGACAGCCAAGTTTTGATGTTGATTACTTTGTTCAGTCTGAAGTGTGGTAGTCCCGATTTTCGCGCTCGCCTCGATGAGGTTAAATGAGAAAATAACTTGGCATAGAGAACGCGTTGCGTGAAAGTTCTTTCGGCTATCGCCAAGAGAAAGAATATCATCATTGAGAGTATCCAACGTTGAAGGCATGATATCACCAACACACCGACGTCTCTGTGGACAAGACAAAATCAATCAGATGGACTCAGTACTAACCGTGCATTGAGTATATCTTCGAATTACATATACCGGGTGTTTCAGGTACCTAAGCAAATGGCACAAAGTTTCGCAATTCCTAACATTTCCGAGAGATCAGAAAAAAATGAATTATCCCATTTTTTATTTCTTCCTTGCTTTATTTGAGGCGGGATCTCAAAACAAATTGCACATCAGCATTTTCGCTTTTTCTCTTCTACAAGAAGACATAGAATTTCAATATAACGATTTGCCTCTTATCCCAAATAATCAACATTTTTTCTATTATAGACGCCATATTGGACTTTTTGCGCAGGAGTTAATTATGATTCTAAATATATAATATGGCGTACGCTGACCTTGTCAAATCTAAGTTATTTTATATATTTTTCATAGTTGACATTGAATACGACAGTTTATCACATGTTTATCCCATTAAATCACCAACTCTTCGATTTTTAAGAAGAGTGTTTATGAGACTTTAAGTTAATTTGCTCATTGATCGACTATAACAAACGCTATTTTAGCAAGATGGAGGGGCTTTACACGACACCTCAGCCGTAAATTAACAGTACTTGACTGCAAAATGTGAGCATCGGATTATATATGGCGGATATGGAATATGTTTAGGAAACTGCATCATCGTAGAGATTTTTATAAACCCGTATCGTCAGTCGTTCCTACAACGCTTGATTTTCATACTTTTCTACTGTTTCGTGACAGCGCATTATTTTGATGTTATGTTACAAATATCTCTTTGCATCAAATTGTTCATACTTTTGATTTATATCATCTGTTATATCATTCTGAAATTTCCTACAATTCAATAGGTCATAAAAGCTGCAAGGCTGTTTGGCTGATGATACGAAACAAAGGACCATCTGATAATTTCAAGTTTAGTTAGATTTTGTTTTTCTTTTTGTAAATTGGCAACGTCAACGTATGACATATTGTACACCAAACGTGATCAATATGGGTGTTGCTGATGACTATAAAGGACGTCATTTTGTATGTAATTCTGCGCTATTCCTTGAAAATAACTCACTCTACATCATCATTGAACGTGTGCTGAACGTACTCCTTCAAATGCAGCATCGTCGCCCCAAAAATTCTCTTGCAATTCGTTATGTAAGACTCATTCTGCTCCAACGTGCTCACGTTGAAGTAAATCTCCTCCAGCACTTGGTGTACCGTCGTCAGGTAAGAGTTTGAGCTACTGTAGTACAAGCGGCAAACCAATGGTAGTACAGCTAAGATGACTGAGAAGAAAACTCCTACGTAGAAATAGTCTAGGCATTCGGGCACTGATTCGACGTTGCCGATTATTGTTGAGCTTATATCCAGCATCGAGAGATCGGCCTTCTTTATCTCGTTGCGTTCCCATATTATGCAACTCACTGAAATACATTTCTTATTTAAAATCTGCTGTACTAGACCAATCATCGAAGAACCGGTAATTAGGTAAAACATGAATGAGAAAATTTGATATACAACAAAATAGCTTTGAAAACAGGTTGGAAAAATCTCTTAAATGTAATCGATACAATCGCTTAGATTCATATTGTAACGTAAACACCTTTGTATGGTTCAAAGTCTAATTTATTACTGCTACACTAATTTATAGCACTTGCAACTAATTTATAACAAATTTATAAATATGTATGTCGACTGGACTATTATTCCATCTTAATTCCGCGTTCACTATAAACTGGTGTGACTGTGTCCCGACTATGACTAACTCATTCCGCTATCTGGTCGGGTAATTATTCCCTTACCGACGAGTCGAGAACCATTCCAGCGTATTCCAGTCCGAGTCGTGAACTTCCATGGAAGCAGATGCTTCCTGCTTCCAGACGGGTTTCGATTACTCGAACCTCGGCGAAGCCTACAAGCGCGGTTCTCACCCTTTCCAAATTATTTTGCCGTGGCGAGACTAACATCAAAATTTCGCATGATCACTTCGACGGGGTTGCCATTGGCGCAAAACACGTAATTTTAATAATCTAGATGGAGTTATACAACAGAAAAAAAAGCAAAATGTCCATCATACACCATAATCTTAAGTTAACTTGGAGTTTTTCACCTCTTGAGGTAGGTAACAAATCTGACATGTCTATGAATTTGATTTAAAGAAACGAAAATAATACATTCTTATAGCAATAACGAATATGTTAATTTATCGGTTTATAGTGTCTTAAATTCAGATCGTTTTCCTAGAAGTTTCCATCCCGCACCGCATAGGTTTGTTTATCTCATACAAAGGGTGTAGGAATATCAAGCAATCCCAAATATTTCGACTTGATGAAGTTGATAAGCATTTGTTTTGAATGGAATATCGATAACTTCGGACAGAATTTATAAGCAAGATGTAACGCGATACATAAAAGTTCCTGTTAAATGCTCCAAACACAATTGTTTCGGAGAAGGAAAGTATGAACTTTCAGAAAACCCTGTATGCCCCATCCAGACTCTATTTGAGAAGGCATGAGAACATCCAAGAATCGTTAATGTAAATAATTTCACCGCGTCTCATTTTCAGGTTCTCTGATCTGTTCAATACCTTATGCCTCAATTATAGTTTTCCGAGAAACACAAAAAAATGAACACAATTCCCATTGCTGATTCACTGAGAAGCACTGCAAAAACGTGTACTGTCAAATTCGCCCTCCAGAAACGTCCAAACATATAAGGTCAGATCAGTATATGAGAACATTGTGACAAATATATTCACTGACAATCTTGGAGAGAAAGCTCAGAGGGGAGTTTTGATGGGGGTCTGGAAGTACAGTTAATGTTTATGTAGATATCTCCAACCTACCTTTCCCAGACGGCGGATTCAGAATGGCCGTGGGTGCCATTTCGTTATCGTACTTCGAACACTCCTGCATTTCGATCAAATTATCATTGAGATCAGAACTGTAACTGCATTCCTCTTCGCTATTGGTCGTCACTCCCATCCAATCAGTTGCTGAGGAAGTGAGATCGCATAAGAAGTTGTCGGATTGGTTGTTAGCCGCCCTAACGTCACCAGATGACACAGCTTCTTCTTCTTCATCTTCCTCGTCCGTGTCGCAGCCATTGTCATCTAAAGAACTGACGCTTATTATCGGTACATGTACCGGCGGTTTCTTTGGTACCTCGAAAACAAGAAACCTACTATAAACTAATGGTTAACAGTAATTGTTGACTGTTTATATCAGTTCCGTACATTACCGAAGTACTAATACCATATTACTCATATTGGTTGTGCATCTATCAGCTACCCTGCATCAGTGTAACAACGGCGACACACGAACATTAAAGTGACGCGCTGCAAAAAACGCACGTATTTCTGTCCACACGGAATATCAAGGTGCATTTTGCAACACCAGCGTCACCTAATACGACGCGCGGGAGTAATGTGCGTCTATCGTGCGTCCTGTTCCATCTTAGCAAATATAATGCTGAACACGCGTTTTTTTTTTGCAGCGCATCAATTAAACGCTCGCCAGTCTCAGCACTGTATTTGCTAAAAATAACCAAGTGGAGACAAGCAGTGAAGAAATACGCAAAATATTATTACTTTGTTTTGTTCATGTGCTTGTGGTAACAATAGAATAAAGAATAACAATCATTGTAATTGTTCTATTTTCTTAAACTTGATGTTTCATAATACAGTGAAAGCTCCCATAAGCGGACACTCACGGTTCCGTAACTTTTGTCCGCTTATGGGAGGTGTCCGTTTAAAAGATAGTATGTAAGTATAGAATATAAATAACGGGGTATATAATCATGAGGAAACGAGGTATTATAATCATGAGAAAAATGAAACAGAAACTCGCCACATTTTTAAAGTATGTATTTATGCTATATATCTATATAATATATGTACATATACGCATACAAAAACATAAATGCTTCAATACATGGTACGAGAATTTAAAAAAAACATTATTCTTCACTTCTTGTTGAAAAAAGTTTAAAATGTTTGTCTGACGAAATTTCACCATCTTTTGCTGAAGGAGACAATTTTCGTAATAACTTTCTAAATTTTTCAAATGTTGAAATGCAGTGAAATCATCTTTAGCAAATTTTTTCAATATAGAAATATGATTTAGAGCTTTCCCATATGAATTTATCGTTTTTGAACCGCTTAGTGAGTCCACCAGTTCCACTTCTTCTTCTGAGTCGTTTGGACTACCATATTCAAGTTGGCCTGGGCTTTCTACATCCAAATTCGAAAAGTTGCCAATGGCATTTTCTTCTGTTGTTATGTTATTGTCTATGGCCAGGAAATCATCTACTTTCTGGGGATCTGCTACTCCTAAATGTTTGGCATGTCGCAGTAACTAAGCAAGTGTCGCTAAGGGCAGATCGTCTTCAGCATCGCAATAATTTTGCTCAGCAAATTCTGAGCTACATTCACTTTTTCTGAATCCAGCTTTGCCAAAACAGTTTTTAATTGTAGAGGAATTTACTTTATTCCATGCTGTTTTTATAAAATACAAAGCTTCTAACACATTGATAGACTTTGTAAGCTCAGATAAGCTTTGACCATCGTCAATTTTTGTTAAAATATGTTTTAAAATCAAGTGCCGATAATAACATTTAAAGTTCTGTATGACACCTTGATCCATGGGCTGACAAACAGAAGTTGTGTTTGGCGGTAAAAATATAATTTTCACATTTTTAATTTTCATATCACGAGGATGAGAGCATGCATTGTCTAAAAATAAAAGAACTTGCCTTTTTTGGATTCTCATTTTCCGGTCGAATTCGACTAACCACTCAGACATGATTTCTCGGGTCATCCATGCCTTTTTGTTGGATTTCCAAGTCGCTGGTAGATCCTTAATAGCAACGTTTTTTAAAGCACGGGGACGAGCCGCTTTCCCGATCACAATCAAATCGCATTTTTCACCGGCCATATTTGCACAGAATAAAATGGTTAGTCTATCTTTAGACAACTTTCCACCCACACATGTTTCTCCTTTAAAGGACAGAGTTTTGTCGGGCAATGCGCGAAAAAAAAGTCCACTCTCATCTGCGTTGTACACATCTTCTGGTTTGTAGCCAAGCAACATGGACGGAAGTTTCTCCAAAAATTGTGACACATCAACTTGATCTACTGCAGCAGCTTCGCCAGATATGCATTTGAAACTCACACTATGTCTCTTGCGCCACTTTTGCAGCCACCCGTCGGACGCACTGAAATTATTATAGCCCAAAGTAGTGGCGATTTCTTTAGCTTTCATTTTCACTAACGGCCCTGAGATTGGAATGTTCTGACTTCTAGCTTTCACAAACCACTCAAAACATGTTTTGTCTATAGCAAAACCTTCCTTTTTAAAAAATCCTTCTTTTGATTTATATTAGTTCCTGATTGCCATTTACTCCTGATATCTTCCTTATTTTTGGCAATTTCAGCTGCTTGCGTTTTCCCAATATTAAACCTCTTTGCCAAATGACGAACTGAAACACTTTCTCTGTCTAATACGTTAACAACTTCCATCTTTTCCTTTAACGAGAGCATCCTTTTTTTTGGTGCCATTTTACAGTTACAATAATAAAATACGTAACTCAATCAACTACAAATTTGCCTGAACTGAAGACAAGCCACAAGATTACATACAGGCTACCCAACGAAATGCGTAAATGGGGAATCACCTAATATAAATCGGGGAATTACCGAATTTTATGTATGTAGATATGTGCATTGCAATAAGCGGAACTAAAAATCGTCCGGGTATTAGAGTTTCGCGTCCGCTTATGGGAGATTTTTTTATCACATACAGGAAAATCTAGTGTCCGCGTCCGTTTATAAGAGCGTCCGTTTATCGGAATGCATTTAACATTGAAAATTGATGGCTGAAATTCGGTTCCAGGAACTTTGTCCGGTTAAAAGAGATGTCCGCTTATAGGAGCTGTCCGCAAGGAGAGCTTTCACTGTACATAGTAACACACAGTTGCAACATGTTGCCAAAATCAGTTGCTGGAGCTATACTACATAAGTCATAAAAATAATTCAGCTTCTAAAGGACTATGATTAATCAAAATTAGAAATGAGAGTTGTAAAATCAAAGTATAATTTTTAGCTTAATTTTAGTTATTATTCTATACACAAACACATGCGCTATTGAAATAATACATGTTAAAAACAAATATGTTGAGTATCATCATTGATTAATAAATCTGAAGATTTGTTTTAGGTATGCAATTAAATGGAAATATTTCCTATTATACTCACTGATGGCCTTCTTTTGGTCTCAAACACAGTGTTTGCCTCACTTTCTGAATCAGAACTGGCAAAGTCATTATGAACTGGCTTATCATTTGAATTAGCATTGCACTTTTCAATGAATGTTCTTTCTATTTTCTCTTTACAACTATAATATAAAACAGACATGTTAGCAGAACAAATTATTAAAGTATATCAATATAAGGTGATAATTATAAGAATAAAATCTAAAAGTAGATATGCAGATAAATCTTGAAAAACTATACTGCATTGTAGATATTGAAGATTAGCATGGATGAACCTAGATAAAACTTATCTCCAGGATTATGGGGTAATGCCAAGGAATCTGCAAGCTAATATGGATCCAATATTATACTAAATATACAGTTTTTGAAGTTGGCAGGAAGTAGGAGTTCATACTTTTAAATTATGTTGAAGCTTTAAGAAAATTATGCATGATATGAGACTAAGTTGGTATAACTTAATTGACAAAAAGGAATCAAAATTTAAAAATGTTTACCTTCTTCCAGATTTTTCTCCAGACCCTTTCAAATCTTTAACATTATCATTATTCTTGGTTGATTGTTTAGATGAATATTCTTTGTCATTCCAACTAACCAATTTGGTGCTTTTTTTCAAGCTAGACTTCTTTTTGTATACTTTCCTTTTTAATTTGTGGGAAGACAACTTTTCTGTATTGGGTGATGTAGCTACTATTTGTGAGTGGATTAAACTAAGAACCCACATCATTATTGCAGGTACAAATATTTCCATAAAGGAATGAGTCTAGAAAGTTCTCAACATAAGTAAAAAATATTATTTTTGAAAAATATGGAATGCTTACATCAGAATTATGAAGATCAATAGAAGTGTATGTATTGAAAAAATATATGATATTGATTACTTCTGCTATGTAAGTTAACAGAGTAATTGTAAAAACATAATAGGATGTCTGGTTTATCCACCACTTCCCATATAAAGGAAAAAATATGCATCGTAATGTTGCTAGCTTTGTCACTTTAATAAATCCATGTTGAGGTTTGGCTTTTGTAAATGACGAACCTGCAAAAATTATCAACAATTTAGTATAGATGTTTGAAATTTATTTATTTGATGAAATTTTCCGTTTATGTTTGTTTTACATATAAAATATATAATAAATAATGGAAAGATAATGTATTTATCCCGAAATTTATAGATGGTTAAAGGAATATACCTCTAACAAGATCGAGATCTATCAAATCAGTATTTGGTTTTGTACTTCTAGTCTGTACATGATTCAAACCAATTATTTTCTGTTCTCTTTGTTCGATATTTGTTTCCCATTGTTGCTTATCATATGTTCCAATTTTATGTTGGTACCTACAACAACGCAGTTTCCCAAATATAAGGTAAATATTTATATAATAACATATTTACCATACAAAAATATGCCCTACACCCATCGGTTTTCAATTCCTCACTTTTAGATGCTGTCGGTTCATAAAAACCGATCAAAACAATACGGAAAGTTCCTTCTTACCACTTAAAATTAGATTTTTCTAGTTTTAAAACTGACCTGTGACTTATGGATTATTTTTCTTTTTATGAGAATCGAATCGAGTACGAGGTTATGAAAAGCTGTCATTTAACTTCAACAACAACCCGAAAGATGTCGCCTCAATTCTGTGATGCGTCATCTATTGGAAATAGCAAATAGCTGTTACAGGATTCATGCTTATGGGAGTAGTAGATGTAGTAGTAGATGGCGCTCAATAGTTGCGGTAGTGCTATCTATTGATAACCTTTGCAACTATTTGGTCTATATATAACATGGTAGGTTTCTTGACCCACTATACTTTTTTTTTAATCTTCCAGTAGATGGCGCATAGAATAGTCACAGTGACATCTGCTGACCTTAGTTAAAGCTAAAAGCTGTCAGCAGTCATAAATCAAATTCAAGCGGATAACCAAATGGAAATGGTATTTACCATTTTGGGTTGGTATTTACCAATCCGTTCAAGCGAGTGTAGTTATCAGTTTGGTTATAAGATCCGTGACGTCACGAATCAGCTGTTATATGTCATAGTTATCACCGCAAAATTGTGGTATTTACCCAACTCAAGAGTAGTTTTATATTTCTGGTTATTATTTGAAATGTGACAAGTTAGAATTTTGCCGGGTATTGGATATTGTTATTGTACTTCAGCTTCATTTTTGAGAAAAACGATACAGGCTGACTTCAGTTTTACCATAAAGTGGAGCACCTTATTAGTTATACTCATTACGGTTGTTGGGGACACTTTAAATGTAGTTTCTATGCTTAACAAAGTATCCTGTGTAGCCATATACCACAAGAATATTAAAATATGGCCATATAAACTCACTAGATGATATCCACCTGTATATGGTTTTGCTAATTTCTTTTTTCATCATTTCTGCTGAATCAATAAATGTTTTCTTTGACATGCGGAAAAATTTAGAGAATTGAAAGTTATCATAGCTACAAAGCCATGGTTAGATCATTAAAAAAAAAATCTGAAAAAAACATTTCTCCATGAATATTATGAAAGGTTTCTTATTTAAACTTTCCATATACAGTTGTAGACGAAAAAGCACCGATTATTAAGTGATAATAAAAATAATCAGAGATTATATACGCGCTTTTCTAAAATAAACAACTTGCAACAAAACCGCGGTTAAAACCAACGCGTTCAAGCGATTCGTGTAACTGACGTCATCAACCCGTGTGTCATCTTGAACCATATTATAACCGCGGCACATAACACAGAAATTTTGGTTATTCGCTTGGATTTGATTATTAACCTCGTTTACCTAACCTAACTCGATTAACCATAAAAATTTCCTTCCAAAAACGAAAAAAAAAACAAAAACCGAAAATGTATTACAAATTTTTGAACAATCACGGATACAAGATTTTATCATTGAGGAAACATGTCCGGGTAAGTGTAAACCAATTTCTTATTATATGGATTTATACCATTATAGATTTTTTTACAGTCCACCAAATACATGTCCAGCTTTGCTAAACTTGCGGAACACAAAGACCTGAGCAAAATAAGAAACATTGGTATATCCGCTCACATTGATTCAGGAAAGACCACGTTAACAGAACGTATTCTATTTTACACTGGGCGAATAGATGAAATGCATGAAGTCAGAGGTAAAGACAATGTTGGAGCTACTATGGACTCAATGGAACTTGAAAGACAAAGAGGTATCACGATTCAGTCAGCTGCTACTTATACGATATGGAAGGAGCATAATATTAATATAATTGATACCCCAGGTAAGCTGTTCTGTTATATGAAAGTGTTCTCCATCAACATTGTCTTTTTTCAGGCCATGTGGACTTTACTGTAGAGGTAGAAAGAGCTTTGAGGGTTCTAGATGGTGCTGTTCTAGTTTTATGTGCTGTGGGGGGAGTGCAAAGTCAGTCATTAACAGTAAACAGGCAAATGAAAAGGTACAATGTACCTTGTCTAGCCTTTATAAATAAACTAGATAGGATGGGTGCTAATCCTCAGAGGGTTATATCACAAATGAGGTAAATAGGTGCAGTAATTTATCTTGCTCTTATACTTATCCCAATCATTATTAAGGTGAATGTGACACAATCAGACTACATTTACTGTAGTCTATACCACTGGTATTCACTGATCATTCAGTTAGTGGACTTCCACATAACCTTTCAAAACAATAATTACTTAAGTCTTAGTTACACAGTGAAAAATATAACATTCCATGATAGATACAGTAAATACTGATCATCTCCATGAAGTTTTACCAGCAATGAGTAAATTAAGGTAACCAGTAGAGCAGTGGTTTAAGAGCTGAATCATCCTTCCTTCCTTCCTACAATTGTAGGATGCCTTCATGGCTTTGCTGGTTATCATAGCTGTCTTTCAGAAAGGTGATCTATTTTGAGGTTATGTTACAAATATCTATTCTATCAGCCTGAAATGTTATACAAGTCAAAAAGAAAACAACTAGGAGTGTGCTGAAGCTGACATGGAATAGTAGAAATACAGAAACACCCCAGCCTTTCAGGAGGAGCGAAAAGACTGAAAATCCATGAGGCCATAAAGGCATCCTACAGTTGTAGGAATGACAGATGATACTGCCCTTGATCTCTTGGCTGTCAAATTTGATTGTTGATTAAATGCTGCAAACTGTCAAAGCTAATCTAAGGCTATAAGAGCATAAAACTGCTGCCACACTGGACTGCTTTGAGTTACTTGAATCTACTGAATGTTGATGACTTCTCCATAATGTGAAGTGAAAAGTACTCTTCAAGTAAAATAAGAATTGACAATCATATGTAAATATCTAATTTTAGATCTAAAATGAACCATCATGCAGCATTCATCCAGCTTCCAATTGGTCTGGAGTCCAATTGCAAAGGAATTGTAGACTTGGTCTCTCAAAAAGCCATCTATTTTGAAGGGGACCATGGTGAGGCACTTCGAGTTGATGAAATTCCACAAAACATGAGAACAGAAAGTGATGCGAGCAGGCATGAACTCATAGAACATCTTTCAAATGCTGATGAGACATTTGGAAATTTATATTTGGAGGAAAAACCTTTTACAGAGAATGACGTCAAAGCAGCTATCAGGTAAGCCATTTTTTTCTAAGAGATATTAATATTTAATTTGACAAAAAAAATATTCCAATTTTAATATTTTTCATATGTATACTGCTTAATGGTTAATCATTTCATGTTGAAACTACCACCATGCAATAATGTATTATGTTTCAGACGAACCTGTTTAAAGCGCGAATTTACCCCAGTTTTAGTAGGAACAGCTTTAAAAAATAAAGGAGTCCAGCCACTATTAAATGCTGTATTGGACTATCTTCCCAACCCAGGAGAAGTAAGTATAAACCTTTTTGAATGGCACAAGTTATATTAAAGTCAGTTTTTACAATTTTTTTTTTTTTCTTTGAAGGTAGAGAACTTTGGCCTGAAAGAAAAAGAAGGGCAAGAACCGGAAAAAGTACTGTTGGATCCAGCAAGAAATGGAGATAAACCATTTGTAGCACTAGCTTTCAAGTTAGAGGCTGGGAGGTTTGGGCAACTTACTTATATGCGTTGTTATCAGGGAATGTTACAGAAAGGTAAATAACACAGTCTCCTTTAAATAACAATATTTAAATAGTGGTACCACTAATTATTCACGCGGATGGTCTGCTTTGGACGTAAAATGCTACACCGGTTTGTACAGAATGGTCCTTGTTATGTCGGACAGCACTGGCATAACCAAAAAAGATTTCTGGAGGGTGATCAGCAGGTCAGCAGAGCATCCATGGACTCATTTTTCTCATTTTTTTTACCTACTATTTTTCACTCGTTTTTACTCATTCGTTCCCCCGAAATTATTATTTTTCTCATTATTTTGGGATCTTACACAATGCAGTGAGTCCCCCTAAATGATCAGGTATACAGGGTGACCCATCCATGTGTGGACGGAATATTACTCATAAACAAATGCATTTTGGGAAAATCTGTTCATGGCATGTGATACACGACATTCGAGGGCACATTTCTAAAATATTGGCAATTATACAGGGTGTCCCAATTTTGACCTACATATCAAAGTTGTGATTTTTCAAATGGAATGCCACAAATTTTATTGCATATTTGGATAAACCAATTCAAAAGAAGAAGATTGATATAACATACTTGGCGTTTTGGTAATTAGCTACTGAGATGTAAGGTGTTTTGTCCAGAAAAACCGTCCACTTCGGCAACCCCTCAATCCGCCATTTTGAAATTTGGGGTGCTAAATTTTGTATCAAAAAAAACTTGCACACCTCAGCTTTTATCTTATTTGTTCCTTTTTCAAATTTTAATTTTTGCTCATACAGGGTGGTCAAAAACGCAATATGTAGTTTTTCTCAAAAATTTCAAATGCGTCACCCTGTATATTTGTGCAAGTTTGGATTCAATTTTGTATAAGCTTTTTTTTGATACTAGACACATAAGGGTTTTTACGGCTATTTCTTCGGTTATTAACGGCTTAGTTCCCTAAAATATCGCATCATTCTTGGAAACAAAAGAAACAAAATTAGCTCTGTGAGTATTATAATAAAAACGTGTTTGAAAATGAATTTTTCTAAAGAAGAAATGGTGAATATGGTGTTCGTTTTGGGCAAGGCTCAAAGAAATAGTTTCCCGGAATCTCGCATTTATAAGCAGTGGTACCCTAATATGCAAAATCCAAGGCCGGAAACATTTTCCACACTACGAGAACGTTTTGAATCAAGTGGAGCAGTGGAATATAGTAAAACATGTATAAATAATCCAAGTGTCACCAATGAGGGAAATCAGTTGGAGGTTCTATTAAAGTTGCAGGAAAATCCCCATTTAAGTGCATGGCAAATTGGAGCGGAAACTGATATATGCAGAACTTCTGTCCAAAGGATTATTCACAAGAATAGGTACCATCTATATCACCTACACGTGCATCAAGGCCTTCGTCCTCAGTATTTCACAGCTCGAATGGAGTTTGGTAGAATAATGCTAAATAAAGTGACTACTAAAAAGTCACTACTTTCCTTGATAAGGTTCTTTTTAGTGATGAGGCAACTTTTAATAGCATAGGTGTTGAAAACAGGCATAACATGCACTATTATGCGACGGAAAACCCTTACTGGGTTAGGCAAATAGATTTCCAAAATAAATGGAGCTTGAATGTTTGGGGGGAGCTATTGGCAGACAGTTATCGGACCTTTCTTTTTCTTCAACAGATTAACAGGTACAGAATACTTGAATTTTTTGCTTTTGGAGGATGTCAACCTGCAAACTTGCATGCATATGTACTTCCAACATGCGCACCTGCGCATTATCATAATCTTATTTGGACACCTGGAGTGACAATCGTTGGATCGGTCATGATTGCCCTATATCTTGGCCCCCTAGATCACCAGATATGACACCGATGGACTTCTTTCTATGGGGCTACGTTAAGCAAGAAGTTTATAGATATCCACCATCTACCCCGGAAAATATGAAGGAAAGGATTAAGGATGCTTTTCTGAACATAAGGGAACACATGCTGAGGGATGTGCAACGGTCATTTGTCCAAAGACTACAGCTGTGTATTTAACATGGTGGAGATATTTGAGCAGTTTTTGTAGATTAGGTCTTGAGTAGTGAGAATTGTTTGTTTATGTTGTTGTTATAGTTATTTTTCTCTATTACGCTTGAAGCTGATTTCTAATGTTCTCATTGTTATTTTATTAGTTTTTACGACTCGTGATGGCAATATGGAACTAGCCCACTGTTTGTCTTTTGGTTCCATTAATGATGTGATTTTTTTCCTTAATATAATTTAAAAGCTTAATAACTCAAAATCTAGTGATTTTATCTGTAAACAAACCTTATACGAAAAAAAGCTGATAAAAAATTGAATCCAAGCTTGCACAAATATGGGTGATGCATTTATAATTTTTGAGAAAAAGTACAATTCGCGTTTTTGACCACCCTGTAAGAGCAAAAACGAAAATTCGAAAAGCTGAGGTATGTAAGTTTTTTTTGATACAAAATTCAGCACTCCAAATTTCAAAATGGCGGATTAAGGTGTTGCCGAAGTGGACGGTTTTTCTGGACAAAACACCTTACATCTCAGTAGCTACTTACCAAAACCCCATAGTATGTTATATCAATCTTCTTAGTTTGAATTGGTTTATCGAAATATGCAATAAAATTTAAGGCATTCCATTTAAAAAATCACATCTTTGATCTGTAAGTCAAAATTGGGACAACCTGTATAATCGCCAATATTTTAGAAACGTGCTCTCAAATGTCATGTATAACATGCCATGAATAGATTTTCCCAAAATGTATTTGTTTATGAGTAATATTCCGTCCACACATGGATGGGCCACCCTGAATAATCTATATTTGGAGTATTGTGGGCGCTGATAACACGCCCCTCTCTCTCTCACACTCTCCATTTGTTTTCGATCTGCTGTTTAACCACAAATGCCCCAAACACATTCTCATCCGCTGCTGCGCAAGTTAATGAAACGCCTTCCAACACGTGTCGTCATTTTTCAAAAAAAAAGTTTACAAACGTCTTATCTTTTACTCAGTTATCCTTTCAAAATAATGTTTACTTTTTCTTTCCAAAATACTTATTTTCTCACTTTCAGGGGAATGCATCCTCTGCCATTGTAAGAAAGCTCTAAAAGTTTCATGGTTTGCATGTAATAGCTACCAGAACACAAAAACATTCATAGAAAATCGCAGTCAACAAACTGATTGTATCCTTAAATAATCCGATTAAGCGCCGATCATGCTACTTTTCAATTGACGACGGAAACGTTTTTCACTTGCTATGTATTCAAAATGCGCCATTGCAAATGATTCATAAAAGGTGGCTGTTGTGGATAATTGTCTTAAATAATTATTGTGATTACACCAATCCAACATTCATTTTTTGTTTTTTATGTATTTATTTCCCTCGCGGCACTGGGAAAGAAGGATTGTAATTGCGAAAAATTTGGGAAATGGGATGCTGTTTTTTGGGTGTTATATTATATGTGCATGAGGAAAAGCCATTTCACTCATTTCCGCCTGTAGTCATTTCACTTATTTTCGCTTGTCTGTTCGCTAATCCTTGGACCGTCTATAACTTGGAAAATACCGCTCCGATTTTGATGTAATTTTCACACAAGATTACTGCTATGCCGAGAACGAAAATGCTTTGTAGTTTTTGAAAGTCGGTTTAGTGGCGGCGGCCCTACAGGCAACCAAAACGCTCAACCTTCGTATTTCGATTGCATTATTTTGATGATATTACATTAATATAGCTCCGGTAATTCTACGCAACCATTAGACATATTTCACTCACCACAGATTTAACAATACATTTGCCCTTAAAAATACATTCGGCAGACGGATCGAATACACTGAGGCTTTTTTTTGTGCCTGGAGGTGAAGGTGTTCTCGAATCTCGTGACAGTGGAATTTTATTTTTGTTACTCCGATTATCATTCGTCACTATGCATGTCACTGTCATTATTTTATTTTAAGGCGGTAGTTGGAAAAAGGTTGTTAATAATGAAGAAAGAAGGACGTATTTACAAGCAACCCATACTCCTACATTGTCTGTGTTGTGAAAAAACTGCTGTTTTAAAATTTGTTCATATTGGGCCTGTTTGACATTTAGTAGGTGTGAAAGAGAAAGCACTCTTTTTTCGTGGCACGTTCATTTGCTAAATTACGGGCTTAGAAAGAGTATTTAAAATTGGTATTTTTCCGAAGAATTTTTTAGAGTTGAAAAATATCATATAGGGATCTTTTGTACTTTTTTACTAAAAACGACAAATATAAATTTAAATAAACTGAAGGTGATAAAGAAGTAAACATTTCATACCAAAATTTGAGCAACTTCGCATTTTTTATTTTCGATTTTGTTACTCCAGAATATAGATTCAAGTGAGATTAAAATACATTAGAAGTTTGGAAATGGTAGGCGTATTAATGAAGGGGTACGTATTTTTATGTACATACATGTCAATGAAAGTATATTTAAAATCATTATTAGATCTTGAAAATACTCGTATATAGTTGTAGTCGCCGTTCTTGGGGGGTCAAAGTAAGACTACCAGTATCCCTTTACATATCTCTATCTCCCTCATACATACACATGCCACCTACTCCTGGGAGGGAACGTTTGTTCGGTAAGCTCAAAGACATACGTTTTTTAGTTGTGTCTCCGTCTCGAAACCTTTGTCGTTACGTATGAGTGCCCTTCAATCATATTTGTCAGAGTGACAACTTACTTGCAATCGGCGTGCAATTCGAGTTGTCCTGTTATCAATCTTCAATATAAAATTCAACAATGCCCGGAAATACGATCCATGGAGAAGGCAGACAGGAAGAGAATGAAAACAGCGGTCCGCTGTTACCCACAGATGACAGATAAGCTGAAGGTTAGTCGGCGCAGTGTTCCGCCCATGGTACGGAGACTCGATCTGTTTACTTATTTCATATGTCGTGGATGACGTAACCGCCAAGAACAATGACTGCAACTATGGTAGCGTATTAATGCGATATCTAGCAAACCAGTTGTCTAACGTCACGTTCAGTGCAACATGTATGTTAGTTTGGGGCCTCGGTTGGTCGCGTTGGTCAGAGTGTCGTGCTACTGATCAGCCGGCCGGCCGGGCCGCGAGTTCGAATCTCGCCTTCGCCATGGATGTTGTGACGTCGTGTGTTTGTCCATAATTAGAGAAATATAAGTAACACACATCTGTGGCAAATGGATAACTTCCAATGCCAAAAAAAATGTATGTTAGTAAAAATCCCATTTTCAAACGTCTAGTGTATTGTGAACCACTGAGCTATATTTTGGAGTAAACAAAAATTGGGAAAAAAATGGTAGAAGTTACCCAAATTATGGTTTGAAGCGTTTACCGCTTACTATTTTTTTCAAATTTAAATATTTTAAATGGAAATAAAGTATAACTTTACATTAAAATATATTTAGAATCATTATTAGAGCTGGATAATGCTTATAGTGTAGCCTATTAATGCAATATCTCGCAAACCAGTCGACTTAAACATGCGCCTAACGTCATACCCGGAGCAACATGTATGCACATAAAAATACGTACCTCCTTAATTAATGCACATACCATTTGAAAACTTCGGATATCTTTTAAATACCTTTTAGCCTATATTTTAGAGTAAAAAAACGCGAAGTTACCCAAATATTAGTTTGAAATGTTTACTTCCGGTTTGGTACCATAAGTTTTCCCAATTTCATATACGACTTATTGTAACAAGAACAAATAGTACTACCAGCGCCATCTGTTGGGAATCGCACCAGTGACTCTCCTTCGAGATCGACGCGAAGTGACCTCGATTATTCTGGACTGCCGCTATGTGGCTCACCGGAACTTTCTCGAACTAACGAGTACATGCCATGCGGAATATATAAGTCGACTGCCAGGAGAGGGAAGCAGTGTTGAGTGAATGGCGCGACATACTAATTCGTAAATAAGTAGTCAGACATAAATAGTGGTGTACATAAATGTTCAATCTAGTCCAAGTTAAAGTTAGTTGTGTTGTGTTTTAAATAAATTAGTGCATTTCTTTTTGTGGAATCGAGTGTTTTAATCCACAACCCAAAATAACCCAGCAAAACGCTACATTATCTTTCGAAACCCGTAACTTAGCAAATGAACGTGCCACGAACAAAATCGTGTTTTCTCTTTCAAACCTACTAGACATACAAACAGACCCACTATGAGCGAATCTTGAAACCTTACATTTTTTTCTCCGTCTACTTCACGTGAAATGCCCCGTTATGACCATTCGAGAACACCCTCTCTGATCTCCTCAACATTTCAGGAGAGAATATCTACAACGTTCGCACCAGCCGCAAGGTGCGCATCGCCCGTTTAGTGCGCATGCACTCAAACAACATGGAGGACGTCAACGAAGTGTACGCTGGTGACATTTTCGCGCTATTCGGGGTGGATTGCGCCAGCGGCGACACGTTCGTCAACGATCCGAAAACCAACATCTCACTGGAATCCATCTACGTACCCGACCCAGTCGTCTCGATGTCTATAAGCCCTGTCAACTCCAAGGATAGAGATAACTTCTCCAAAGCGATAGCCCGGTTCACCAAGGAGGACCCTACTTTCCATTTCTACTTTGATACTGATATCAAAGAGACCATCGTATCCGGTAAACAGTATATAACTTAGAAACAACATACCCTATTTCACGTGTGTCCATAACGCTTTGACGTCTACTGAGGTGAACAGCTGATCAGCAAGTGACATTTTTGTATTAGTCTGCAACGTTGGCGATAATGAATACGGAATAAATCTAGTCAAACTTGATTGTGGCGTTTTGTTTTTTGTATGCAAATGAACTTTCCTGAATAAAAGAGCTGTTGGCAAGTACAAAATGAATCTGTAGCGTACAAAAAATCAAAACAAAATTCGGCTCTGTCTACCTGGCGTTGAATGATCCGTCAGAATTATGTATCCCGTGCCGATATGGGAAATATTTAGATATTACTAGATAATCAGCTGTCATTCTACCATGATGGATACTCCTGAAATAGGGTATAGAACTTATGTTGCACATAACCTGGAAATACTGGAAAATAGTTTTCTTTCGATGTGCAGTGAAGTTCTAAAGGTTGCGAAACGATTTCTGAGGAAATATGGATTTTTTAGAATAATTATATAAAATTACCCTTAGTATATTTGGGATTCTGTGAAGAATGTACCTAAGAGTGGACTATTTCCATAGTAGTTTTAATGACGGAACATTCTTTCAATGGTTTAGGACCAACAAAGGTCTGTTTTTTCTCTCCAATTGAGGGCATCAGTTATTTTATTTTTTATATATATATAGTAATGGACTAAAGTATATAGACAAATTAATATTGTGATGTATTCCTTTTTTAACTTGTTTTATTAATACACCAAACTGTATTCATAATTCGTTATAGCATAATACTCACTTATACATAAATAAATTCATTAGACTCCCTTCAATAAAAAATTAATTGAAAAAACTGGAACTATGAAGGACAAAAATATATAGACAAAGCAAAACAATTATAGAAAAAAGAAGCAAAGTTCATTGAATTATAGAAAACCAACCATGTTTGTGTTAATATTTTGTAGCATAACCATTATTATCAATCACCGTCTGGCATCGTCTCGGCATAGATTGTAGAAGTTTCTTGAAATAAGATTCATCAATCTGTCTCCACTTGTGCTCTAAAGCAGCAAAAAGTTCATCCTTGTTTGAATAATTTTTATCTCGTATTTGTTATCTAAGTATTCCTATAGATTTTCAATGGGGTTTATATCGGGAGACTGTGAAGGCCATTTGAGAACTGGTGTTTTTTCATCCAGAAAGAATTTCTTTGCGAGATTTGAAGTGTGCTTCGGGTCATTATCTTGCTGGAAGATTGATCTTAAGGGCATATTGTCTTCCATATAGGGTAACATGACATGCTGTAGTATGTCTGTATATACAAACTTATCCATAATGCCATCTATTATATGTAAAGGTCCCATCCCAAACCCCGAAAAGCACCCCCAAACCATAACAAACCCGCCTCCATGTTTGACAATGGGCAAAGTGTACTTGAGGTTCAATCTTTGTCCACTAGGACGTCTAACGTAATGAGCACCATCTGATCCAAACATATTGAACTTCGTCACTGAAACATACCCTCTTCCAGTCACAGATGCTCCAATCAAGATGCAACCGTGCAAAATGTAATCTGTCCTTACGGTTTTTCCTCGAGATTAACGGCTTCTTACTCGGTCGGCGTGCAAATAACTTCAAATCATTTAATCTTCTACTTATAGTTTTCGTTGAAACACTGACAATTCCTTTTGTCTCGATTTCGGCTTTTTTTTGTCTTGGGGTTTTAAACGGATCTTTGGACGAAATTACTACTACTAACTGATCTAGCATTTACTTTTCTAGGCCGACCACTTATCTTAGAGGCTTCCAAGATACCTTTTTGTTTATATTTGTTCAATATTGCCCAAACTGCTTTACACTTCAGCTTCAAATTTTTGCCAATGTCGACTTGACGTTGACCATCTTTGTATATCTCAATGATCTTAGTTTTCACATCGAAAGAAATTTCTGGACCACGCGGCATGGTCTTAAAATCACTCAACTTATTCCACAATATTTGATGAACACAAACTAATCCTCTTCTGACACGAAACTGTACTAAACTACTGATGAGAAGAATTTGTCTACATATTTTTGTCCCTCATAAAAAAGTGCTTATATTCAGACTTGAATTGTGTTCATTGCAGATAATGTAAAAACAAGGAATTTAGTTTTTCTACTAATAACGCATTTGTTTATGGAGAAATGAAGCATGAATTCGTTTTCTAAAGGTATTTAGGTAAATATTCATATTTGTCTATATACTTTCGTCCATTACTGTATATATAATGTTCAGCAGTAAAGATTTTTGCTGTTCGAAAAAATGAGGGCCGTTTTTCGCAGCAGAACTCATAATGAAAAACACACATCTATGATACATGAATATTTCACACCCGTCAAATATTAGAATTTCCGACACGATGAAAAAATAAACTAAATTGTCACATATAGGGGGTCACAGTGGGTCCAGTGGAAAATTTCAAATCTGAATTACGCGGCAACCGTATACGCGAGGAAGTGGGGAGAGGTCTTGATCGACGCGCGGGTTAAATAGTCACAATGGAACGCTGGACCGGAGCTCAACGTGCTTTTGCTATCGAGGCTTACTTTAAAAGTGGTATTCAGTAAGAACCTATTGAAGTCAACCCATTTCTGGCCCCACACCTACTGTATCAACCGAAGAAAATGTGCGTTGAGTAAGTGATTCGGTCATTGCAAATCCTGGTCGTTCTGTGCGGAGCATTCCGCTGCTTTGGGAACACTGCATGGCATTATGAAGAAAAAATGGGTTTTCATCCTTATAAAATCCAGTCAGTCCATGCTTTAAAGGACAGTGATTTAGTATTACGGAAATCTTGTGCAGTACGGATGTTGAATCTTTTTCCTACGCAGCGCAGACTCGAGAACGTTGTTTTCAGTAACGAGGCCCATTTTCACTTATGTGAACGATCAAAATTGCAGATATTGGGCACCAACGAACTAAAATGAGAAACATCAACAGCTACATAGTCCAAAGGTGACTGTTTGGTGCGCCATATCCTCTAGGTATTATTGGGCCGTATTTCTTTGAAGATGAAAACGGTCATGCATTGACAGTCAATTCCGAGCGATACAAGGACATGATTGACACTATTTTTGCTCCTATAGTAAGAACATAACGTCGATTTGACAGAAACGCATAGTTTCAACAGGATGGGGCCACTGGCCATACTTCCAGAGAATCGATGGACACGGTGAAAGCACTTTTTCCGCAAAAAGTTATATCGAGACATTCACTGGCCTCCTAGGACACCCGACCTCACCACATGCGATTATTTTTTGAGGGGTTATCTAAAGTCAAACGTGTATTCCAATAATCCACGAACACTGGAGGAGCTTAAATACAACAGTCGACGAGGAATAAACATCACTCCGGAACTATGCAAGAATGTTTCAGAATTTGCGTGCGCGATTAGAAGAGTGTGTCTGAAGGGATGGTTAACATTTGGACGGAATAATATTTAAGAATTAAAACCCGCCGAATTTACGAATATGTTGATAGTAATAAATACTTTCTTTTCATTAAGTTTTATATTTTTTTCTTAAATCAAAAAGTGAACTTTCACACTGGATACCCTGTATAATGGATATCATGGTGAAATATGTGGGACCCAGTCGAGACATTAGAGTGGCTGAAAAAAAATTAAATTAATTTTTTATAATATTGGCAGTTATTGTTTTTTAGGAATGGGTGAACTTCACCTTGAAATTTACGCGCAGCGTATGGAGAGGGAGTATGGATGTCCAGTAAAACTAGGAAAACCAAAAGTAGCTTTCCGTGAAACTCTCGTCGCTCCTTGTGAATTTGACTACCTACATAAGAAGCAATCTGGTGGTCAGGGGCAATATGCTAAGGTTATAGGTGAGTAATATTTGTTTCCACGCACGATTCTTGTGGATTCATCTTTTTTCATATCTTCTGATAATTCATCCAAAATCTTAATCAACAAATATGAGGTAGCTTTTCGCTACTGGGTTTCATCTCCAAACTAGTGTTTCCACTAAAACTTCACACTTCAAAGTAGTCATTATAATAATATTTATTCCAACAGGTTTGCACCCAATCACTGGGAAGAATACTGTAAAAGTTTGTCTTACTAACAATAAATAGTCCCAACGAAGAAAACAAAATTTTTGTAAAAGAATGTATTTATTTTTCAACATAATCTCCTTTGAGCTCTATACACTTTTCCCAGCGATGTTCAATAATTTTGATACCCTTTTTATAATAAGAACGGTCTTGCTCCTCAAAATAGCCATTAACTGCCGACATCACTTCTTCATCGTTGGAAATTCTTTGACCACTGAGCCATTTTTTTAAGTTTGGAAACAGAAAATAATCCGAGGGGCTAAATCTGGTGAATAGGCTGCATGAGGTAGCAATTCAAACTTTAATTCTTTAATTTTGGCCATTGCAATAACGGATTTGTGACCTGGTGCATTGTTCTGATGAAACAACTCTTTCTTCTTAACCAAAGGCGGCCGTTTTTGCTTAATTTCATCGCTCAAACGTTGCAATAAGTTCGCATAATACTCGCCGTTGATAGTTTTACCTTTTTCAAGATAGTCAATGAAAATTATCCCACGCGCATCCCAAAAAACCGACGCCTTAACCTTGGCTGCAGATGAAACGGTCTTCGCCTTCTTTGGAGCCGGTTGTCCCTTTTGAGTCCATTGTTTTGATTGTTTTGTTTGTCTCGGGTGTAAAGTGAAGGACCCATGTTTCCATCCATGGTTATGAAACGACGCAAAAATTCTGTTCTGTTGCTGTGAAACTTCGCTAAACACTCAGTTGAAACATCTTCACGACACTTTATTTGCTCGATTGTGAGCAATCGCGGCACCCATCTTGCACACAGCTTTCTCATGTCCAAATTTTCAAATATGCGATAAACCGCACTTTTTGAAATGCCTACTATGTCTGCTAGCTCGCGCACTTTCAGTCGACGATCATTCAGTACCGCTTTGTGAATTTTCTTCACCATCTCTGGAGTCGTCACCTCATTTGGTCGACCACTGCGATGCTCGTCTTGGCAGTTCGTACGGCCTGCTACCCAATATTTTACTGTTGTAAACGAAGGAGCAGACTCACCCAGAGTAGAATCCAGTTCAGCTTTTATATTGGTTAGTCTGAGGCCTTTGAAATAAAAGTGTACCATATAACGATGACCAATTTTCTCCATTTTCACAAATTCACTGAAAACGTTCAGTATTGATGGCTGCCAAACAAATAGTAAACAACGTTGCGTCTTCAAACTTTATAGGTTGCATACTTTCTAATACAATTATATTTTTCAAATAACTATCGTCATGTCTAGATCAGGCCGGGTACTTCTGGGACCACCCTCGTATATATCAAAGTAAGCGTAATAAATTAAGCAAGAACACAAATAGAAAGTATAATAAAAAAGAGATATAAGATATCCCAGTAAGATAAAAATTGCAATAAATAGGTTAAAGATGAGTCACACTCTGTATATCATGTCTGTTAGAACTGCCTGATACCACCTGCAAATTATCAAAGCTAATGACTCATCAAATACTTATCAAAACTATTACACATTTTTGAAGGCACAGTCCCCACAATCTGATTGATTATTGACCATATTATACAGACTGTAATATCCGTAGTACGGCGAATGTAAACTAGAGTGTTAAAGTTCATCTTTTCAAGGAGCATGGCATTAGGATAACTTCTTTCAAGTTAAAAACCATAAACTTTGTAGTGCGTATATTTTAAGCTTTTACTACTGAACTAGAATTTTACTAGCATGGAGACCAAATAATTGTTCAACACTTCATCTTACTCCTGTTAAAAAAAGTATACAGTGCTCTCAAAGACTGACATCTATCTATAGCTACGTTATCAATTTGTTTTTGCGAGAAACGCTTAAGTTCTGATTTCCTAAGATTTAAATCAAGTGGATTGATCACACACCAATCACTATCAAGGTCTCATTGGAGGTTTTCACAATTATTATGATGTTTAATTTCACAGAAAATGTTGATGTCGTCAGCAAAAAATAGATGGAGGTTTAGTAACTGATGTTAAGTCATTAATATAGGTTATAAATAACAGGGGACCGAGGTTAGATCCCTGAGGCACCCCTGAAGCGGCAGTAAAAGAAAACGATATGTGGCCCGCTATACACAACCCTTTGAGTTATCTGTTTGTAAGATATTCCATAAGTGAAACCAAACCGTTAGATAATCATATTGTACTCAACTTTGAGAAATGATCAACTGAATCAAATGCTTTGCGAAAATTATTATAAACCATATCGACTTGTCCTTGTTTATCTATAACTTCAGAGATGAGCTGTGTTATGCAAGCTAGATTACTGATAGTCGATCTGCTTGTCAAAAAGCCATGCTGAGATGAGATATAACTTACTAAATTTACACACAGTGCATTTCTTTAATGCCCCCCTCCCCTTTATTTTTTGAACGGATCAATTCAAATAAATTAAAACTTAAGGTAATGAAATTGATACCATATGGATACCATATTTTAGAGTAAAATTGACAGATGAAACTCTCAAGGTGGCCGGCGGGCGCCATCTTGGAAAAAATATATGAAACCGGGGTCTTGTGGCAGATCATTTTGAAGCTCCTGACGAGTACTTTATAACCTTAGAATATAAAGTCAATACCTTTACCTATTACAAAATGGTGGTACATTTAATAATTACCTGAATACATTTACTTTTAACTTGATAATTCGAATAAATACGTTTATTTCAGTTTAGAAGATGCTGGAAATGGTTGCCTTAAACTTCTTGACACAATAACAGCCGGTCCGCAATTTCGCGTCGAACATTTTCAAACATAGTAACATCGATATTTCTACAAATATTTGTTATTCTCAGCCTTATATCCAATTCCGTCGTGTCTCGCATAATTCTGTTCTTCGATCAGGCTCATCTTCAGTTAGCTGAGGTACCGTTTAAATTTTGTATGGGTGATACTTATTATTTTTCAAAAGTATCCATACAGTAGAAGGACAAACCTCACATACATTCGCGATGGAGGAAGTAGACTGTTAGGGTTTACTATGATCTCACCAATTATTTGAACTTGCTTTTCTTCCGGGATGGTCGGATGACCTGAGGGCTTTTTGTTGTTTACACAATCAGTAGCTGTAAATTTAGATACAAGTTCCCTTCAATATGTTCTACAGATAGGACGATTCGGGAAACGATCATTAAAAATCCGTTCGGTCTCGTGAACGTTACGCACCATAAATATATATCGCTCCGATTTTTTCTTTCAATGGACGAGAATTGACCATTTTAAAAATAGTCCAAACAGTATCTAGCACTAAAACCGAAAACTAAATAAGAATATTTTAACTGTACAATGATGTTTGTTTTCGTACTAATATTCTTGTCACTGTCAACAAAAATAACAAAACAAGTTTTTATCGCTGTTGCTGTGGATACGGCAGGGAATCACAATTATTTGTAGAGATATGCATGTTAGTGGGTTTGTGTTCAAGTAATTATTAAATATGCCACCATTTTGTAGTAGGTAAAGGTATTGACTTTATGTTCTAGGGTTATAAAGTACTCGTCAGGAGCTTCAAAATCATGTGCCACAAGACCCCCGTTTTCATATAATTTTTTTCCAAGATGGCGCCCAGCGGCAATCTTGACGTTTTCATCTGTCAATTTTACTCTAAAATATAGTATCCGCGCATCAATTTCATTAAGTTTTAATTTTTTTAATTGAACCGTTCAAAAAATCAAAGGGGAGGGGGACATTAAAGAAAAGCACTTGAAATAGTACGATAATTTTCAATCAGACAGTGATTGATCATCTTATATAAAAATCGGACAAATTTTCGTTATTTTCCAAATTTCCGGGTAGGAATTGGTCTGTAGAGTCATGACATTATTACTGTATAAAATATTATTTTTATTTCGCAGGGGTGCTAGAACCGTTACCGCCCAACAAAAACACAGTCCTAGAATTCGTCGACGAAACAGTTGGTACAAACGTTCCAAAACAGTTTATACCCGGTGTACGCCGTGGCTTCTTAGAGATGGCCGAAAAAGGTCTGTTGGCCGGTCAGAAGCTATCCGGATTGAAGTTCAGGCTGTTAGATGGCGCTCATCACATGGTAGATTCCAGTGAGCTCGCTTTCTATCTGGCTGCCCAAGGTGCTATCAAGCAAGGTAGGTTGGGGTAACAGTGCAAAACTAGTAACAATGAACCATTTTTGTGGCTAGAGCCATCGTGCCTGATTTTTTTTTTCAAATAAAATTACATTTTTATATTGTTGCCCTCAAAATAACTTTCTTCTGAAGCCACACCCCAACTAACAATTATCAGTGCTATTATAGTTGCAAGAATGATTATACGGTATTCCTTAAACAGCATTGTATACTGTAAGAACATTGGCAAAACCCTCTTAGAACAGCTATACAAGCGGAATGGGCACACCTAATAGGACACTTCAGTCATTTAAGAGGTTGTATAAGGGCTGCAGGTAACAGTTATAAAACAAAAGTGTAAGCCTCTTGCAGCCGCTATAGGACATTTGCGTCAGTGCAAGATTCAGTTTTTGTCAACTATACAACTATTCTGTTACGTGATTCTACTTTATTGCAACCAAACTATTTCTTATGTATTGTATAGACGAAGTGAAGAATATATAACTAACACATTACAGTCATCTTGTTTACTTATATATCGGCCATTGTGAATTGCATACACAGGCATATGATAAACTTCTACACTGTGATATAGGGCTATTGAATTACTTGCGCAGCAAATTCTATTGTGATTATCGTGTAGATTAGTTACCCAATTTCTACGGGCTTCGTATTTGATTCATATTTTGACAATGATCAAAAGTATGTCTAAATTTTTAAGATGGAAAACTGAACTTATCTGCGTTAAATCTTCCACAAATCCTATATTTAGACACAATTACACTAATGTTTATCACTTTATGTCTGTAATGTCGAACTGAAACATAATTATTTAATATTAAATAGAGGAGTAAATGTCTGCCCAATATGGCGGGTGGTTGTGTACAATCATGGCATCGTCCATGTTGTCTTTAGGTTATTAGAATATTTTGGCGTTGCCTGCAGGTGTTATACAACAATTTGACAAATGTCTGGAATGAAATACCGACAGAGTCGAGTGATTTACCCAGAATTTGTACCAGATCTATATCTTCTGTGTGAACAGTTGATAAAACCTTTTGAACCAATATGCATGCGTCATTTGTCTTAAAACATTGATTATGGCATTTTACAAAAATATGACAGCAGAAAGTTAGGTTATGGTGAAGTTGTTTACCAACATATTTAGCATATGTACAGCCTTAAACAGTTACTAAACAACAGTTGTATAAGTGCTTCCGTTGGGAGCAATTTGTTGGCTAAAGTAGTAAATTGCCTAGCAAAACAACAAGGCTCGGGTTTGTTTTATAAAAGTTACCATGGATGCCACAACACAACCATTTTGACTAACGTGCAAATATGCCATATAAAATAGTTGTATAAACGTTTATGCAACAGTTAAAAATTTGCCCTATAAGGTGTTGTGTAACTATGCTATAAGAATATTTTAAACACTTCATTTTAGAGCAAATATGTTGCAGAAAGCAAATCTGCATTCCACACAACGTTAAGCCAGCATTTTGGTGTTCAGGCAACAACAATAGAGAGCTTTTATGGCTGAATGGTTCTTTTACCAAAAGCTTATACCACTACTTTGCTAGTTGGGACAGCGCTGGAGGCGGTTCTTTCACTCCTCATAGCAGCGCTGGAACTCCGATACTGGAATAGCCTTCAGCTGGTCTGTTACAGCCGTTTGAATGTTCTCGATTGTCCCGAAATGAGTTCCCTTGAGGTGAAGTAAGCGATAAATTCAACGGCATTGACACTGCGTCGGTTTAAAAACGGTAGTATTTGGTGCTGGGCGATACAGTGTCCGATATGATACAACATAACTTGTAACTTATTGTGTAAGGTAGCAAACCAATTAATCAAAACCAATTTCGTATTTATCGGACGAACTAAGAATAATAATATGTTTTAAGAATAATATTACGTCCATATCGTTAGATATGGACTGTTGTATTGTAGTAGTAGTAGTAGAAAGATTTATTTAGCACATTTGGCTACAGAATAATTGTAAACAACTTAGAATTAGTAGATTCAAGCCAAATGATGTATGATGTAAATACTGGGTAACCTATAATTGTAGATTTAACAAGGGATTCCTCAATTTTACTTTAAATTTTGTCAAAGTTTTCTGATCTTTTATCTCTGTGTATAATTTATTATATTCAATCAACCCTTGATGGAATACAGATTTGTATCATATGTTATACTTTTTGGTCATTAAATGGAAGTCATCTTTATTTGTGCTAGGCATATGTTTCCCGCCACGCCTCGGCGGTCCCTGGGGACCACTAAACATTTTTTTGTGAACATGAATGATTGAATCAAACATATTTATGCATACTGTAAGTCATAAGCAGAACAAATGACGCTGGACTTTGGCCAGGTGGACATTTTTCTAACATTTTGCTTGGCGTTTAACGTGTTAATAGACAAAAGCTGCGTCCGGAATGGACAGATAAAACTCGCAATTTCCCTTCTGAATAGGAGCCTAATGCGAACTGGTAAGCTACTTCGAATGGGATCTGTTACACTAAATGCGATGCTGCCTGCTTCTGGAAACGTTGCGGAAATGATGGAGGTCATTTTTAGGGCCGTTTTATGGACGTGCATCTTCAAGTTTACTGATTTTTGTTTTAGTGTTTGAAAGGGGTGTCTGGCAGATCATCGAACCTGTCATGGCTGTCGAGGTGACAGCTCCCGACGAGTTCCAGGGTGCAGTGATGGCACAGTTGAACAAACGTCATGGAATCATCACTGGCACTGAAGGTACAGAGGGATGGTTCACAGTACACGCTGAAGTACCTCTGAATGAGATGTTTGGATATGCTGGTTAGTAATATTTTTCTAAGCTTAGGTGTATCAATTATAAAAACCATGACTACTTCACAATTAGCAGCCTCAAAAAATGACTGTGCATTTATGTGCTAGCTTTCACGATTCTCCATCACGTTTTGGCTGCTGTTGAGGTAATTTATTTTCACATACAGATAATTTTGACAATAACATATATACTAAGTGACATATAAATCCGAACACCCAGTTTAAATGGTTTTATTTTAATAAAATTTTGTATAAGTACTTAATGAAGCATAATAGGTAAATGATAAAAATTTCAAAATGATTGCACTGCTTTAAAGCCCTTTGACCTTTAATAATGTGTGGATGCACCCTGATGAGCTACGCATTCTCCAACGCGCCTAGGCATGCTTCTGATCAGGTGGTCAATGTCCTTCTGTGGTATCTCATTCCAGGCAACCACCAACTCCTCTCGAAGTGCTTCTAGAGTCTGAGGAGGACGTTGCAAATTGAGCAATCTCCTACAGATCATATCCCACACGTGCTCAATTGGGGATAAGTCGGGAGATCTTGGTGGCCATGGTAACAATGTGACATCATTATGTTGAAAGAAGTCTATTGTGGCTCTTGCAACATGTGGTCGGGCATTATCTTGTTGGAAAGTTGGATCTGCCAGGGTGTCAAGATAGGGTAAAAGATGGGGTTCTAGAACTTCGTGGATATAACGCTGCGCGTTCATGTTACCTCTGATGAAGATTAAAGGAGACCTGGAACCATAAGCTATAGCACCCCAAACCATAACTCCAACAGTGTGATAAACATGTCTTTCAACAAAAAACTGTGGATTCCTCCTTTCACCACGTCGCCTTCTAACCCTGGCACGACCATCGTGCATGCCTAAACAAAATCGAGACTCGTCACTAAAATACTGTTCCATTCCTGATCCCAGAGTGGCCGTTGTCTGCACCATTCAAGGCGATTACGTCGGTGTTCTCGAGTTAAAGGGAGGACCCAGTGTGGCCGGTATGAAAACAAGCCAAAACTTCTCATTCGTCGGTAAACACTTCGCATGCCAATAGGTCTTCCGTGTTCTGCAAACCATTCATTTGCAATGGACCTGGTAGTGGAGAAACGGTCCCATAAGGCCAATAATCTTAGGCGGCGATCTTCATGGTCTGTTGTTCTACGGCGGCGTCCAGTTCCCCTTGCTCTTTGCGTACGGCCTTCTCGAAGCCATGCCTGACAACACCTAACCACAGTGTCTACACTTCTTTGCACTCTAACTGCAATTGCCCGAAAAGAAAGTCCAGCTTCCCGGAGTCCCACTATACGGCCCCTATCAAACTCACTAAGTTGACGAAATCGTACAGGTCTCCGTATTCTAGGCATCGTAACCGATCGTAAAGGATGTCAAGAACCAAAATCCGCCAACGTTGATTCTTGACTGCGGCTGAAATATTCATTTTTAGAGCGTTAGTGAATTAAAAAAAAGCAGTATAAAAACCGGAATGTCCAACTGATAAGGCTGGAAATTTTTTCACTTTTTATTTACAGTAAGATAAATACATTTACCAACTTTTATTAAAATAAAACCATTTAAACTGGGTGTTCGGATTTATATGTCACTTAGTATACAAAGTATACACAGAAAAAAATTGAAGACAAGTGGATAAAGATGTCATGTAACAAAATCATTGTATGAAGAAAATTGATTTTAAACGTTTTTTATTGGGACTTTTTACTTTATTGGTATTTTAAATATTTAATTTAATTAGTTTGTTATTATCTTGTTTTTGCAACAAAGTAATCACAGAATGAAAGCTGAATGTTACATGACACATTTACCCACTTTTGTCTTTAATTTATAAATGACTTGGAAGCATTGTTAGGGCTTGGTACCAAAAGGCATAACAAAATACGGCTACAGAACAACCTCCTTTCTTAATATGACTCTGTTTACAAATCTGACAGTGTTGTGTCACTTGACGATTGGTGGGCATTTTGGAAGTCCACTAAATATTTATTTGTTGACAAGTTGTGCCATGATGAAGGGTTGTGAAATAAATTTTGTTATTCCATTTTTTCAAGGTACTCTTTCTGAATCGCCTTAAACCATTTTTTATCAAGCACATTATTTTCTTTCTTAAATGCTGATTTGTGAATCTTGTAGGTGAATTGAGATCCAGCACTCAAGGCAAAGGCGAATTTACAATGGAATACAGCAGGTATTCACCCACTCTGCCTGAAGTCCAAGACATGCTTATGTTGGCATACCAACAATCTATGGGCATAGTTACAGACAAGGACAAAAAGAAGAAGAGGAATTAATGATTATATTTGTAAATATTTATTTGTATATAGGCTTTGATATTAAATGAATTGTTTTTACCGTTGGTTTTCATTTAATTCACTAAGCAACATATATCCTATAGTAAATTTGTGGGATACAGAAAAACAAAAAAACATTTTTTTGAAAATAAGTTTAATATTTTAAATTAATGAAATGGCTATAAGCAGGAAACTCTTAATGTAGGCAGAATTTTTTAATAATATTTTACATGTATAAAACTTGGTACTTATTAGCTAAGGGTTATGCAGAATCGTGAATTCCCAATCTGAAGATATCGTGTTGAACAAAAAATGAATTACCCAGTGGCTTTAAGACGAAAATTTGAGAAAACGCATGTGGTGGATCTTCGTCAGCCTAAAATGGTAATACAATAAATTAAAATGTTGACTTATTTGCAAGTTGCGCATCAATTGTTACACATGCATGTTATTGGTTTATTCATAAGCATACATGGCATGTAAGACTGTATGAAAATTATTCACAAAACATATAAAATTTGAAATTGGGGAAAAAAATTCACAAACATTCAAAAAAAAAGTGTGGTACTGTTCTGATAAAAACAATGTTATTTCATTCGATACGTGTAGGGTTTAGCCCTTTCATGCAAATTATTTTACAAATATATTTCTAAAGGTTGGATATGATAGAATATTACAGAGGGAGTAATTATAAAAAAATTAACTGTGAAGCTTGACATTTTAGTGGATTTAATAATTTAAATGTATACAATACACTTGATGCTTTAATGAAAGTATATTAGATATAGTTAAAGAAAGCAAAAAATGACTAAAATAGGAGCATGATCCCTTGAAATTTAACTCACAGAGCTAGTCTGTTAGATTTCATGAACTTGAAAATTAAATAAATTCTAATATTTATCAAACAATAAACTAATATTTTCTAATATACTACCCATCACATTATCATTTTGTAGAAACACATTCATGTTTGGGTATTTTAGAATTAACTCTAGTAGATAAGTAATTAGGAAGTGTATTCATAACTAGCCTGTACGTAAAATTTCAACAAAAAAGTAAAATGAAAGAAGCTAATATCAAATATACATACTATCTGACAATATCAGGCTAAATTGTATCATGAAGGACTAGACGGAAAATATCATGTTGTACAAAAAAGCTCCCTTCTATTGGTTTCAGGACAAACGTCTGTACATAAGCATGTGGCAGATCCTCATCTGTCTATTGAAACATTAATATTTTTTGGAAAAAATTATACTTGTTAGTAGCTAGTAGTCTTATCTTACAGCAGTATGGGCTCTTATGGAAATATAATATAACACATCTTTGATAATAAAATAAAAACTGATTTATTATAAATTAAGATGAACTTGTGAATAAAATTTTCCCTTGAATGAATAAACTGCTAAGTGAGGTTGATAAAAATCCATTTTTTTTTTTAAAAAAACAAGAAAAAACGTCCAATAAGAAAAAGGTCCAATTGTTAAAATTGTGGGAAAAATGGATCAAAAACTCTATAAAGATATTCTTAGTGAACACATTCTCCCTTTCACTGAAGAAGAAATGCCTTTACGATGGACATTCCAGCAAGATAATGACCCCAAGCATACCTCAAAATTCGTAAATGACTGGTTAAGACTAAAAAATGTTAATGTTCTTACATGACCTTCGCAATCACTGGAAATAAACCCTATAGAACATCTCTGGGTGAACGTTAAAAGACCACTGACAAGAAAAACTTTTAAAAATAGGAACGATTTATTTGATTATGTAAAAAATATTTGGGAAAATATCCCAACAGATGTCTGTAAAAAATTGGTGTCTTCTATGAGCAGCATATGTCAGGCAGTGTTGAATGCTAAAGGCTATGCTACCAAATATTAGCCAAAAAGTATTTTTTTAATATTTTTGTAGTTATTGTAATTTGTAATAAAAAATATGTTAACATACTTTTGTTATCTCATTTTCAGTCATAAAATAATATGATGGTATTTTAATGCTAGTCTGTAGTACCACAGCAAACACAAATTGTCATTTATATCCTCAAGACTGTATGCAAACTATAGAAGAAAAAAATAGTCCTTAATAATAAAGAATATAAAATTAGCACACTTTTTAAAAAAGACTAAGAATGTTTCCAAACTTTTGGCTGCTACTGTAGGTAGCAGGTGAATAGCAACATTTGATAGATGGAAGGCATATTCTGTGAAAAATGGCCACAAGAGATTGTCTGAAGGCAACTAAACACATATTTACATGAAAACACAAGCATATTGTACTACAATTTATTTGTATTCATAGTGTGAATGAGAAAGACATACACAAAGTACTAATGCTTAAACAAAAACATAAAATCTAATAGAAAAATTGGTAATATATTTTACTGATATAATTTCACTTTCAGTCATCTTCATTATTTGAGGATCCATTGAATATTTCAAATAAGAAAACTAATCTCGGGGCCTTCAGTACTCTGTCTATAACGTAACTTACTTTGTATTAAGTAAAATCATTCTATCTACACCTGCTAAGATGCTTGTGCAGTAGTATTAATTGATATTGATGATGTTATCATTTTTTATCAATAATATGTTTGCTTTCAAAAAATTTTTTGATTGGCAATATATCATATCAAAATAAGGACAATAAATCTGATGAAAAAGGGTGTATATAAGCTGCTGTGATACTGAGACGTCTTTGATAACAGTTGATTCAACTAAATAAAAATTTAATTTTGATTGAAATAATGTCACAAAAAAGCAGTTTTCCCTAAAAAAAAAATTAATAAATGACTGACAATGCAGAGAGATCTTCAATAACTTTATAAGGACCCTTTTGCGAGATAAGCCATACTGGTAAAAAGTGTGATTTTGAAGAGGAATGTAGAAACCTCACCTGTAGTCTTCCTAAAACATTTATCAATACTCCACCATCGAACATTGGTTGTGAGTCTACTGCTGTGATAATCCTATTTATTTTTTGGAACGTTAGAGCCTACGACAAGATTTTCAGGTTAGAAAATTCAGATGATTCATCTTGCTCTACTTACATTTAATTTTTCCATAATCTTCACGGAGCCTTGCAGCTGAACCCCTTCAAAGGTCATAAATGATAATTCCACCTAAAATGATACGATTAATAACCTGAAAAAATCATACAGCGGCAAAGAGAACTTTACATTGTACATGTTAACCAAATTCTGTCTCTGAGTAGGATCATCGAAAAGGGCATAATATTGTTGGACAAACCCTTTGCCTATGGCCTCGTATTGGGGGTTCAAAGCCATTTTTCAGCCCTATGTCTTCCTGTGGGACTTTTTAACCCCCCAAAAATAAAACCGTTTTGGGTTCTTGCTCCTAAAGCCGCCGTTATTTGTCAAAGTCAGCAATGTCAGGCATAGACCCGTCAGTCGAGCGTAGGATTATTCAGAATTCGGTACGGAACGACCACGGTGGAAACGAAATATCTTTTATAAATCAAATTCAAGCCGATAACCAAATGGAAATGGCATTTACCATTTTGGATTGGTATTTACCAATCCGTTCAAGCGAGTGTAGTTATCAGTTTGGTTATAAGGTCCGTGACGTCACGAATCAGCTGTTATATGTCATAGTTATCACCGCAAAATTTTGGTATTTACCCAACTCAAGAGTAGTTTTATATTTCTGGTTATTATTTGAAATATGACAAGTTAGAATTTTGCCTGGTATTGGATATTGTTATTGTACTTCAGCTGCATTTTTGAGAAAAATGATACAGGCTGACTTCAGTTTTACCATAAAGTGGAGCACCTTATTAGTTATACTCATTACGGTTGTTGGGGACACTTTAAATGTAGTTCCTATGCTTAACAAAGTATCCTGTGTAGCCATATACCACAAGAATATTAAAATATGGCCATATAAACTCACTAGATGATATCCACCTGTATACGGTTTTGCTAATTTCTTTTTTCATCATTTCTGCTGAATCAAATGATTTCTTTGACATGCGGAAAAATTTAGAGAATTGAAAGTTATCATAGCTACAAAGCCATGGTTCCATCATTAAAAAAAAATCTGAGAAAACATTTTTCCCATAAATATTATGAAAGGTTTCTTATTTAAACTTTCCATATACAGTTGTAGACGAAAAAGCACCGATTATTAAGTGATAATAAAAATAATCAGAGATTATATACGCGCTTTTCTAAAATAAACAACTTGCAACAAAACCGCGGTTAAAACCAACGCGTTCAAGCGATTCGTGTAACTGACGTCATCAACCCGTGTCATCTTGAACCATATTATAACCGCGGCACATAACACAGAAATTTTGGTTATTCGCTTGGATTTGATTATAGTTATAGTTTAGTCGAGAAAGTGTTCAGTATGGAATATCATTCACAAAAATATAAGTGAATGATGTTTTTTAGTTAACCGTCTAGAATACTCATAGGGGTTTTGGGGCTTAAACTCTCCCACAACCCAATTCGTTTTTCTTTATGTAATCCAAAATGCTATAACTCAAAGGCTGGTTCCACCCATAACCCCACTCCGAGAACTTTTTTTTCTGGATACGCTAGTGGGCTAACCAAATCCTCTTTACGCCTAACAGTTGGTCACTACCAATATTTGACTAATCAAGATGATCCATAGTGAGTCATTAACACATTGTTGAACATGTTTAAAGAGGATTCGCATTATTGAAATACTCGAACACAACAACAAATATCTTTATTCCATAAAAAATAACAATACACATTGGCGACTTTGACTAATATAAAATAATGTGTTGGTAACAATCAACTATATCTGGCTTAAAGGCCTTCTGATTCACTAGGCAAGAGAGCGACGTCAGCTATGTTGCTAAAAAGTTTTATACAAATTAATACAAATGTCTACTATCGGTACCCTAGACGGTTTTCTCAGAATATTGGTAAGGCATACAAACCGCCTATCAATGGTGTGTTCACTCAACACTTACATGGGCCACACATTTTCCATATTTATAATAAGCAATAAACGGAAATTTTCTCATCAGCCAAAGTCCAAAAATTTGCAAATACATGTAAAAAAGCCTTATTAAGGTAAACTGCAATGCCCACACTACGAAGATAATAACCCTTAACTTCATTGTACCCCACGTCCCTAATGGCTGAAGATTTGGTCTAGGTTTTTTGTAGTCCTTTGAATTTTCCAGCACCATATGCAGATAAAGGATGAAAACATCGTGTTGAAGTATAGGATTCATTGCCCACATTCCATTCAACAAAGCTTTGGACATAGCATCGAATTCTTGTGAAGTTTTTCGCATATGATGGAGAAACACCCTTTGTATAAGTAGTTCACATATCTTTTTTGTATGTGTGACTGATTCTCGACATATGTTAAACCTGAAACACAAAAAAATATATTATTTTAAATTTAGAAAAAATAGCTTGAGTACTATCATCGATCTATGGTAGATCTTCTAATTTTTTTTTTGTTTCTTCTGAAATACGGGTAATGGAACGTTGTTTTTTGAGTCAGATGACTGTTAGACATGTGTCGCTTTCAACTCATTGGATAACGCCATACCAGAGATACCTCATTGGGCCCATAATCTTAAGTAAGGGTAAGCATGCTATGAATTGACAGGATGCAGGATTACTGGATGGCAACGACACATCGATGTATCGAATACATCGATACATAAGACGTAGAACATCGATGTTTAGGCATCGATGTTTTTATGACGATATATCGATGTATCGATATCGAAAGGATCATAAACATCGGTATACCCCGAGTATATCCTTAACTGTGCTACCATCTCTAAGCGAGGACTGGTAGCTTAGAAATTGAAAGGCTAGAAAGCTGTTTACTAGCAGTGTTACCAGGTCTACCGATTTTTCGGCAGATCTACCGATTTTGGTCCTGGTCTACCGAACTACCGATTTTAAAGCAAAATCTACCGAAAAGTGGACTTTCAACTAAATAATTTTTGTTCCCTATATAAGAGAAATATTTCGTATGTATAGCGATAAAAAGAATGACAAAAGTACTATTATTATTCGTACTAGGCCAGATATATTTTTATTCTCTTTGCCTGACATTGGTGTACCACATATACACTGATTCTTCGCATCTACTCGATGATTTGGCTACATCGCCTAGACCTAGTGGCTCGTGACAAGTCCATGCCTGTACTGTACGATTTGTATGATTTCGTGTTCTTAGTAATTCCGAATTCGGCCACTATAAGTATTGGGGATTGCCTGTCTTTCAGTCATTTTTTGTTTCGCGTGCATGTGCCCAATATTATAAGGAAGACTGGGAAGAATTTCCAGAATTCCGAGGCTGCTTTAAAAAACAATAAAGCCCGATTATGCGAAATGCATGGTCTGTGATAAAGATATTATTATCAAAAGTGGAAGAGATGCACTTATAAAATACGCAAATGGGCAATTTCATAAAAAATTGCAAACCATAGCAAAACAGCCAAAACTGTTGTCATTTGAAGTTGCAGGTGCATCAAAGAAATTAGAAAATGATATTAAAGAAGGTGAAATTAATTAATCTATTTGAGAATATTTGAGATCATATAGATTATTTTATTATTTCCAGGAGAAATTCGATTGAGCGCATTTTTGGCCAAGCACAATTGGCCATTCTTGCTGATGGACCAATTGGCAAAGCAAAATTAGTATAGTAGTAGTATATGACTGATAAAAACTTATACAAAAATGAGTCGGAAGAATGATTATCCAATATAGCTTACACATTTTTTTATACGCTTTGTCTGTTTTTTATTAAGAATATCTTATTTTTTAGTTAGCTAAAGTGAGATATAAACTGTTTATTTTTGTTTCGTCTTTCTGTTTTAGAGTATATTTTGAGTCAAATAAAATTGTTTTGAGTAAATGCCTTCATTTACTCTTCGGTATTCTATCTACCGAAAAACTACCGAAAAATTCCAGACAATTCTACCGAAATATCGTCGACTCCACCTGGCAACACTGTTTACTAGTATCTCAATATCATTACAGACGTGAGATGGACTGTTGTCTTTTCTTTATTCTGTACTTCACCAAGGGATAGAATAGAATAAACTGAAAACCGCGCATTTACGCATTTAATGATTTTAAGTTCGTGTCGTTGTTTTGTTGTTAATTAATCGGAATGCCACGAAAAAGTGATGTGTGTAAGTGAAAAATACCCTTCAACTTGTGCATAGTGTTAAGTATTTAATGATCAACAATGTGTTTCTAATTTTGACAATCTGACTGAAATACAGGGTCCGCAAAGTTGGGTTTTTCCTTTACACGACGTGTAGATCTTGAAAACATAAGCAATTTTTCTTAGTACCGTATACACCAATGTCTTAAGGGAACCGAGATAAAGAGCTCTGCAACATCAAAAATATCTGAATACCGTCCTGAAGCTGAGACCCGCGACATCACCGAGTGGTACAAGGTCACTGGCTCAACCCGACGACAGAACTGGGTCGGGGTCAGTGTGTCAGGTCAGTATGCAACCTTCAACCGACGGTTACGGTCACGCGTGTAGAGGTAATTGCGTAGACGAGAATCTCAACAAGCACTAAATGAAACGCTTAGTATACAAAACTGAAGTGCATACGGTTGACGAACTTCGTCTCAGAATTGAACAAGCTGGTGCTTTCATTCAGGGGAGGGACTCCATTCTCAAAGCCTGCACCGATGCTTGGCTACGTCGTGCACGCACCTGTGTTTTTGAATCAAACGGCGATAACTTCGAACAATACCTATAAAGTAACTTTACCTAAAAACTGAAAACGCAGCAACGCCGTCATATTTGTTACCTCTGTTTGTGGGATTTCATTTTCTGTTCGAGCGGTATGATTGCGGGCAGAGACGTACTTAGCCCTTCTCGTCAACTGGAGAGTGAGTACTTTTTCCTTTATTTTTTTTACTTGGTCGCCCTCGTTTCACTACACATTACCTTTGTTATTTCAAGGGTAGTTGTTTCTGAAAAGGAAAACCCCAACTTTGCGGACACCCTTTATATTGCAATCGGTATCCTCCTTTTATCCTATCGTGAAGTTGCTATTGCGTTTTTTATTTTTACTTAATGGTTCTGAAATCGAGAAAAAAAAACGCGGGAATTCCACCAACGGATAAAATGACCATTCCGCTAAAATCGATAGCAATCTATGTATTCGTTTTCTAAAAAATTGCCATCCCTAAAGATGTCAGTGTATAATACAGTACCTTTCGTCGATACCCAAAACATAACCCACGACTCTCCACAAATGTATAAACCCTTTCCATTCAAGATCAGAGACGTTATGTACCCCCATCATTTCAGATCTCACCAAACTGATGCCCATAAAGCCGAACTGTGTTAACGCCATATCCATTTGATTTATCCTGTACTGGTAGTTGGTGTTGGCTTTGTTACTTGCTGCATTGTGCATACCTCTTACTTTATTTATAGATGACCATAACCTTAGGCTAGAAAATATAGAAATTTCAGAACAAAGACATCACCATATCAAAAATTTGTTAAGATAAATCGTATTCTAAGTACACTTTAGATATAATATTTCAGTAAGTTTTTTAAATAAGAAATTCATGTCTTTTTGGAAATTGGCACGTTCCAATATGCAACTGACCCATGTACAGTAGGGTGTCCCAGCCTATGAGGGCAAACAAATTGTTGTATGAGATACGCATACCCTCTATTTTTTCCATTCGACTCTAACGACTCAAATAATAAACATCGCTTTAATTGTCTCTTATATGTCTTGGATATTTATCATTAAAAGAACATTGTTTACTAAATTTTCTTTTTACATTCAGGATAAACCTGCCTGTGATCATGTACTTATCATAATAAAAATTGCTTTTGTTCCTCATCAGCAGTGATTAAGCCATGGAAGCCTTGCATTAACTTGACTGCTCTTTCTGTCGTATCATTAAATGCTCTCAGTCAGAATCACTATGTGACCAGGAAGGTGGACACTCGTCGAGAAAACTGTCATCAATCCAGGCCATTCAGGCATGATAGCTTTTCAGTATAAAGCTGTATTTTCTCGGGATCCACACTTTTCCAGCTCTAGAGAAACTTCTCAAACATTGGAATGTTAGGGCTTGTAGGGCTTCGTCGCTGAACATGATTTTTGATGAAAAATTGGCATCAATTTGGCGGTGTTCAAGGAGCCAATCTGAGAACGTTCGGCGCGAAAAATGGTCGGCCCGACGCAGCTCTTGCGTCAATTGGATCTTGTAGGCGTGTACATTCAAATCCTCGTGGAGAATGCGGAGCAAACTGGTTCTCGAAATGCCCAATTCTTGGGATCGACGCGTTGTTGATTGTTTCGGATCGTCTCTCACACTCTGCTTCACAACAGCAATATTTTCCGGTGTGCCAACCCTCCTTGGCCGGCCAGAGCCTGGCAGATTTGCCACAGAACCTGTTGCCTCGAATTTACGCACCAGACGACCGATGGTTGTTTCGTTTGGGCGGTTGTTGCGACCGAAATGTTCACGAAGCGCGCGAAACGTGTTTTTTATTTTTGCACCATTTTTGTAGTGCTCTTGAATAACTTTAATGCGGTCTTCAATCGAATACGACTCCTTAGCGATCAATGGTAAACATTCAACTAACAAAATGAAATGTCGGTGACAGAAAACAAAGATGGCGTCTATGTCAAATTGACGTTTACTTTCCTGCGTCCCTATTGGACAACCCATTAGTAACTTGGTCGATCTTTGATTCAAACACCTTTTTTAACACCAATTCGTAGACGTGATGGCGGCAAGCAAAAATAAGCATTTCTGTTTCTAGAAGAACGTAGGCACCTTTAATGCGACCCGTATTTGAATCAGTAGGGTCACAACAAAGAATCTGAACTTTATATTCAAGATTCCAGGCAATAATAGCATCCCAAACTGCCTGAACCTGCTCGCTGCCTGAAGAGTTATCCAATTTAGCTCAGCGATAAGTTGCTCTTTATCTTCGTACGTCATAATTGTGAAGTCTATCTCTATGCTGACGATACTGCATTGGTGGCTCAGTCGTGGTCTGGTGACCTAGTCCATGACAGGCTGCAAAGTGCGGTGGAGGAAGTATTAGATTGGGCGGATCGGTGGCTAATTAAAATAAACCATTCGAAAACGCAGGCAATCTACTGTACAAAAAGACGTCGCGGCGTTCCGTCTGAAGTTTCAGTGAATGGACTTCGTATACCATGGGAATCCTCCGCTAAGTATCTCGGTGTCATTCTGGACAAAGGGATGACTTGGCGGAACCATATGGAAGCGCTAAAAACTAAATTCCAAATTACGTTTCGGCAGCTTTACCCATTATTATGTAAACGGTCAAAATTAAGTTTGATTAACAAGATTCGACTCTATAAGGTGGTCATAAGACCAGCAATGACTTACGCATGTGCGGCTTGGTGTTTTATTGCTAAAACACACATGCGAAATCTGCAGGTTCTGCAAAGCAGGACGTTGCGCACTATTGCTGATGCCCCATGGTATGTCTCTAACGAAACTCTACATAGAGACCTCGATGTCCCTTACCTAAAGGACTACATTAAGCAACAGGCGCAGCGGCGCTATAGCCTAGCGGAATCGCACAGCAACCCTCTGTTGCGTGAGTCAGTGGACTACACAGTCGAGCAAGTTCGCAAACACAAAAGGCCGCGGCTCGCACTGTAATCAAAATTAACTCGTGAACTTAGAACAACCAAAATTGGAGCATTTTTACACAATCTTTAAAAAAAAAATCAAATATTTTTAGACCATATCAAAATCTGTGAAGTGATTTTAACAATGCCTAAACGCTGCCTATCCTAAAAGATTATCTTCTTCCCCTTTGCTCTCGTTCTTCCTTCTCTCCTTTCCTTCCCCTTTTTTCCTTAAAATTGTCTGGTTTCTGGGTTTCCAGAACTGACAGACTTACAAACTGACACTGTGACTCAAGAGCAAAGGTCCCACGGACCGCTCTGACAACCAACGATGACTTGACTTGACCTTTTTTAACACCAATTCGTAGACGTGATGGCGGCAAGCAAAAATAAGCATTTCTGTTTCTAGAAGAACGTAGGCACCTTTAATGAATTTGAATCAGTAGGGTCACAACAAAGAATCTGAACTTTATATTCAAGATTCCAGGCAATAATAGCATCCCAAACTGCCTGAACCTGCTCGCTGCCTGAAGAGTTATCCAATTTAGCTCAGCGATAAGTTGCTCTTTATCTTCGTACGTCATAATAATCGGTGGACGTTCTTCTTTAGACTTCCGTGCATTTAAAGGTAGCAGCAATTTGCTATCCCAGTGGACAGTTGCAGTTTCCGGTAACTCGCTTTGGATATCGAGCTTTTTAGCTTCTGCGCGCTCCTTTCGCTTTTCTGTACGAGTTCTTTAAATGGAGGACTTGCTTATAGGAGATTCGTCAGTGTTATGTCCAAGTACCTCAATGGTTGCTTTAATTATAAAAACAGCATTTCTCATACTTAACTTACACTTATCTAATGCTGCCACTAATTTTGGAGCTATGAAACTTTTCCTCATTTGAGTTTGATTAGTATCAGGCTGTGTGCTCTGAGTTAAGATGGGCAAAGCTTCTTGCAAATCCATCTCGGAATTTGAAGATGAATTTTATTCACTCGTTCGTAAGATGATGTCGAAGCAGTTAAGGAAGCAACAACATATGTAGCTCGCATCTTTTATTCTTCGGTGTTCCTAAGACGTCTTTTCTTCTTTTATGGCTAATTTCTTGTCCACCCCAGCGAAATGACCAGGTCGACCTGGCTCTCTCTGCCACTGCAAGAAGATTATTTTCATCAATTGAAGAGCATCGGCATGCGCGATATCAAGCAGATTGTCCAAGTTCGTAACAAACTCTTGTCGACGCTGCTCAAACACCTCTTGTGTTTTGCTCGCATTTTTTTGCACAACTTGGTATAAAGTAAGTAGTTTCTTAACACAGTTAGGTAGAGATTTAGTGTGTATACGTGCCTTTTCCCAGTAAATAATGCACCCACGAATAGTAAGGTTGGGGCTCTCAGTGACACTTAATTTCAGTTCCCGGATATTATAGAACAAAACTGCTAGTACTTGTCCATTAGAGGGAAGTTTTGAACCGATAATTTGATGCTTTACGTCCCCTATTAAAAATATTCCCTTTTTAGAACTGCGTAATTCCTTCGACATGTTGACTGAACGAAAACAGTGCGTTTACTAATCGAACAACTAAAAAACTAATATGCAAGTTTTGACATGTTCCAACACAACTCTGCACGATTTCTATACGTTTTGACATTGTTCAAGCAAAATTAGAGGGTATGGGTTTGAAAAAAAAAACTTTCATCTTTTGGGTCACCCTAATGATCAGGCATTGTGCTTGTATGGATAAAATAGTTATTTATTATACAAGGGAAAAAATCTTAGCTTGAGGTTGTAAAAACCGCTAAAATCTAGTATTTTTCTGCACGGCTATCACGTATACTGAAAAGTGACATTATGCCGATTTTTTTTTACATTATGTAGGTTATTCTACAAGATGTTAACTTAGCACTTAGTCGTACGTGTTGCCTAAACGTCATGAGGCTTGTTATCAATCTTTGGCTTTGATGTGATGTAAAATCTGCTTCTGAGATGGCATTACTGGAGGTCTAAGCTGTAAGTTGTATGTGTTGATGATAATTACATTGGGTTCTTGTCTCAAATACACTTAATTGAGATTCAAAGGTAGAAATTAGTTGCGCATCCACTTTTTCTTATCCATTCTGGAAATTACATATACACATTTGCTGAATTTCAAAAATGAGAGATAAGAAATAATTATATTCACTGTACACTGTCGCAGTACAAGTTATATACATGCTAACAGTAATTACACACAACGCTGGCGCGGTGATGATTTCCCGTAATTCTCCTCAGTTTTTCGTAATTTATAACTTTGAACATAACCTCTCTTCAGAAAGTACAACATATAAAAAACCCGTCATATTCAGTAATGCTTTTTCTCACACAGCAAATATCACTGATTTTATACACATGCAGACCAATAGACATAATCATCCATATGCGATCTTGCAATTCAACCAACTTTCTTCGCAGAGATAAAAACTACAAACCCGCACAAAACTATGCAACCAATAATGCGTAGTTTAGTTGACTGGTTCCTCCATAGATGGACGTTCAAACGATCCTAGTGAGTAAACGTGGAAAGACTGCGCCCTAAAACTAGCAAGTTGACATGTTATAGGTTTTTTTGAAGTTTTATAGGTTTTTTACATGATGCCCGCGCCGGTGTATAATACACATTTTTTTCCTGTGACGGGAAAAACGATGATTTAATATTGAAAAATTATATTATTACAATATTTAAGTAAGAAAATTATCGATGTGAAATTTGAATTTTGAAATTAGTAGGCTATGTTGTACTTATAGCAACAATTAGACCCGCGTTGCTATCGAGACTTTTAAGGTAATCAAATAGTTGTCAATTTGATTTTGTGATTTGATTTAAAAATTGTGAACTTAGTGGTTGTTTAGAAGTTATTTTTAATACTATAAAGTAAAAAATGTCTGAGTCCGAGTTTTCTTTGACTCCACCGGAATTAGTAGCCAAAGTAGCGTCACAAAAGTTATTGCCAGCTTAATCACGAGAATTTTTGAAACCGCGTATTCAATATCCTGGAAAAAAGTACTCATTTTTTTCCCCGGGTAAAAAGTAATTTCATAAAAAGTGACATTTTGTTACTTGTCAACAGAGATAGAATGTCACTTTTTATGAAATTACTTTTTCCCGGGAAAAAAATGAGTACTTTTTCCCGGACATTGAATACGGGGTTTCGTAAATTTTCCGCGATTTAGCTGGCAATAATTTTTGTGACGCTACTTTGGCTGCTTCTACTAATTTCGGTGGAGTCAAAGAATACTCGGAAGACATTTTTTACTTTATAGTATTAAAAATAATTTCTAAACAACCGCTAATTTCACAATTTTTAAAACAAATCACAAAATTAAGTTGACAGCTATTTGATTACCTTAAAAGTCTCCTTAGCAACGCGGGTCTAATTGTTATTATAAGTAAAACATAACCTACTAATTTCAAATTTGACATCAATAATTTTCTGACTTGAATATTGTAATATTATAATTTTTCAATATTAAATTGTCCTTTTTTACCGTCACAGAAAAGAAATGTGCATTATACACGGGAAAAGCACAAGATCTTAGCTTTCGGTTTTTTATCTCAATACAACCTTAAGAAAAAATCTTGTAGGTACTTTTTTCCCTTGTATAATAAATAACTATATTTACCCATACTATGTTGCTAATTGTTATAAGGAAAATAAATATCTACCACTACTCGTTAAAGTGCCAATAAATCGGTGTTGACGTATTATTGCATAGAGTCAATATCAGGGTCACATGTTTGCACCGGCACGGGTA